CCGGCTGCCATAAGAGATCACAATGTGCAGGTAAGATTTTTAAAAAGACATGATTTTTTTTAAGTCCCTATATCTTAATGCTGTTATCATGAAGAACTCACGCAACTGAATGATTATATATAATCTTCGCAGGCATATTTCTTCCGAGATTACTGGGAAGACATCGGAACTATAAAGACATTCTACGAGGCTAACTTAGCCCTTGCTGAGGAGGTCATAAACCCAAAAGAAAACCAATTTTCTGTCTGAAACCTGATTAAATCTCTAATCTTTCCTCTCGTCTCGAGGATCCATTTTGAATCTCTTTCTCGTTCTGCAGCATCCAAAGTTTGAGTTTTATGACCCGGATACACCTTTCTACACTTCTCCTCGATTTCTACCGCCATCCAAGATCGAGATGTGTCGGGTATGCGAAAGGGCATCATCTATACGTCAAAAGTCCAAAACTTTTTCTGAATATGTAGCTAATGGATATACCCCTACTGAAATCCACAGATTGTCGATTCGATAATTTCACACGGATGTTTCCTGAGAGAATGCAGCGTTCAACGCTCCATTGTGGGTGAACGGTCACGTCTGGATTATGGTGTTGATCTTCAGGTATTCTCATTCTTTTCTTGTGGTTTTTTTTCCTGGGTTTGAAGTATCAAAAGGATGATCATTACGATGTTTTATAATCTGTTTCTCACAGGATACTGTGATGTTGGGTGCGGATTATTACCAAACTGAATCTGAAATTGCTTCTCTGCTGGCTGAAGGAAATGTTCCAATAGGCATTGGAAGAAACACGAAAATCAGGTAACTTAGACGTACCAATGAATAGTCTCGATCTTTTAGTTTTGTTATTCCAACCGCTGGGGCTCTGATGAATCTTCATGGATGTTGCCTTGCAGGAAATGCATCATTGACAAGAACGCTAAGATAGGAAAAGACGTGATGATAGTAAACAAAGATGTAAGCCCAACTCTTCATCTTTATACCCCCTTATCCTTTTCTTTTACATTTCGTCTGAGTTCATCAAAGATGGAACGAACCTTTGTGACATTCTTACTGTTCCAGTTTTTCTTCTATCGTGTGGGTTCCATTCGAACGAAACAAAGATCAAAACTTTATTACGATATTTACTTAATCGGATCTGTGTTTTCAGGATGTTCAAGAGGCGGATAGGCCTGATGAAGGGTTCTACATTCGGTCCGGGATCACTGTGATAGTTGAAAAGGCCACCATTGAAGATGGCACTGTCATATAAAACCGGCTTCAGAGGTAATATCTTCGCCATGGATGTCGGAACTAAACGATCTCCAAAGCTATTGTGAAAGTACTCAGAACGAAACAGATAAGCCAAGCCGACCACAATCTAAAGCAGGAAGTTTCAGGAATTTTGCTGGAGACGAAGAGGAAAAAAGCTGCGATCTTCTGATAATGGATGTAAATTAGAAGTGAGCTCTCAGCTTATAATAAGTGTTAGAAGTAAAGAAGGGTAGCTGGTAAAGTAATAAACCGGAGGGGGACGACCGGAGCTCCGGCGCCGGCGAGTTTATGGACATTTTGTAATGTTCAATCTGTGATGCTCTTTGTATGATGACCTAAGTTAAATCACATATGTTATCAATTTTTCGGTTTAAACCGGTTATTGAATGCAATAGAATGTGCGGATTTGACAATAAATACAAATAAGATATGAGAATTACAACGTACAGGAGGTATTAAATTGACCGAACAAAAAGTTTGGGGTTGGATTGAGACAATAATTTTCTTTGGTGGTCGGCTTTAATAAATAAATGAACGGGCGAGTCGCATAAGGAAAAAAAAGGAACGAGCAGTTTTACAAAAATGAAGTAAATTATCGATTCCCCTCCGTGTGTTGCTTCTTCAGATCTGCTAGATTTTCGCTGCGTTTGTAGTTGGAAGAAGGTCTTTTCAGGTCAGCTACTGTTGTTCACCGTCCACTGATTGTTCGAATCCTTGTTTCCTTCGATTTTTGGTCTCCGTTTATGAAGTTTCTGTTAATTGATCTGAGTTTGTTCTGTATACCTCATTGATTCATCGCTGGTTTGTAAGTTAGGGTTCGCAATCCTTGATTTTTGGTCCCTTATTAGATACCGTTTGGTTCTTCGGGTTGTGATTCTAGATTCCATGTTGGGCGTTTTCCCTTTTGTGATTTGTTTGATTGTGCTTGGTTTGTCAGACAATCCGAAGAAGAGAGGTAGAGAGATTTATGATCTATTTTCTGCCGGTTTCAATTTCTGTGTGAGATCGTTTAGCTAAGGGACTTCATCTGCCATTAATTTATGGCGTTCTCTCGATTTCTTGTGTCAAGCAGTTGCAGAAACTGAAGCTGCGATTTCTAGGTAGTGTTCCTTATTTTCTGTGGCACATGTTCTGCGTACTGGAGATAAGAACATTTGCTAGCTGTATACTCCCGCCAAGAATGTTGTCCCTGTTTATTTCTTGGGATAGTTAATAGTTGATATGGTTTTGTTGGGATAAACTTGAGAGCGTAACTTGAAGCTAGTTTCTGAGGAAGGTCTTTTTGATAAGGAAACAATTGGGTCAAATTGCCAAGTTTTCAGGGAGCGGCTATTGGTGAGTTTTTGTTTGGGGAAAAAATATAGGCTGTTCATCGTTTTGTGAGCAGCAGGTGTATGTTTCAAGCAGTTGCTTGGATAAGTCAGGCAGGGGTACATATTGAAGCTAGATTTCTTGGAGAACCTTCGTCCTTTATAATAGAATTTTAGTTTGACAGTTCTGCGTTTTGAGAAGAATCATGATGGGCAACGTTTTCTTTCAGTGAAAAGTGTCTGGATATTGTTACATTCTATAGAGAAAAGATGGGAACTTAGAAACTAAAGAATGATCAGAAATGATTTTTTAAAAGTTAATTTGACCTGACTGTTCTATTCATCTTTAGCCTTTAGGTTTTAAATATCGCGCCAAATGGAAGGAAGTGGTGGTGATAGTGCTTCAATGGCAACTCCTGTGCAACAACATGCACATGAAGCGTGGCGGCGTTACCAGTATTATCTGGACAAGACCACGCCTCATGCTGTTTATAGGTGGATTGGAACTGTAGTCATTGCTCTTATCTACTTTCTGAGGGTTTACTACCTTCAGGGGTTCTACATCACCACCTATGGCCTTGGGATCTACATTCTGAATCTGCTCATCGGGTTTTTATCACCTCTGGTGGATCCTGAGGTCTCGGTCTCGGATGGACCTATGCTGCCTACTAGAGGTTCAGATGAGTTCAAACCATTTATTCGCCGACTCCCAGAGTTTAAATTCTGGTAATGTGCAGTCTCTTTTTCAAACTCTGGTTAACTGCTTATTATGCTCATGTTTTATGATGGTGAATACACAACATACAAGCGATATTCCTTAGGGTTTTTCCATATTTGCCATGTCATCAGTTGCGAATCTAAAATTCTGGTGATCATTTCATATGTGCCAGTATTTTTTTACTGCATATTCCAGTGATGTCAATATTGCATGCACGGCATGTTCTTCGTGACTTCTGTTTATGCTGAGGCCTTCATGATCCATCACAAAAGTGCTATTTTTTTGAAATTTTAATGCCCCTGCCATTTTGTTTTGTAAACTTTGCTGATCATAATAGACTTGATTGCTATGCAACCCTTCAGTTAACCGACCTTGGACAATTACATGCCTGATGTAACAGCATCACTAAATTATAGTTTTGCTTTTCACATCAGGCCAAAGGACCTAGTTCCGTTTTGTTATGGACTTTGTTATGGACATTCTTGATTCTTCTCGAGCATTGAATTGAAACTGAAAGAGATGCTTAGATCAATACATAGTCGTTGAAATGCAAAGCATCATCTTTTAAAAAAAGGAACGAGTAACACAAAGTCACTTAACAGTTTTTGAAACTGAAGTACAAGTTTCTATTTGTTGGCTTCTGTTCTGGTTTCATCAGGTACTCCATGACAAAGGCTTTCTGCATAGCTTTTCTGATGACGTTCTTCTCTGTGTTCGATGTTCCCGTGTTCTGGCCTATTCTTCTGTGTTATTGGATCGTTCTCTTCGTGCTGACAATGAGACGCCAAATCTCACACATGATCAAGTACAAGTACATTCCTTTCAGCATTGGAAAACAGGTACGTCCTGATAGTCTTTTAGAGTTCCAATACTGCGTTTTGGTTTAACTGATAGTTTTTATGGGCAACCTTATGGAGAATAAGTGAAAGAATCTCACCAGTGTTTGTTAAATTTCGCGCTTCTAGGTTTATGATATCTATCTATCACCTCATTAGTAATTTTGCATTGCATCTATTTAAACTAAGATAAAAGTCAGGGCAACAGTAAATCAATCTTACCGTTCAATATATGAAACAAGGTTATGCTCCGAGTAATAAAATTGAAAAAGGTGACGGGTTCAGTAGGTGAAACAGGCTCAAATCGGTATACATATTGCTATGCACAAAATGTACATCAGATATTCAACTGCATATCCCAACAATTTTTGGTACACGAGTTCTGGAAACTAATGAACTGGAGTTGAGAATCTTGCCTACTTTAACTGTGTTTTTTGGTGTTATGTGCTTCCCGAGTGCTGTCTGAAATGAAATCTTTGTGGCAGAAATACGGTGGCCGGAGATCTTCGCCCAGCGGCAGCGGCTCCCGTGCCGATTGATCGATCAGACCGTAGTGTTCTTCCCGGAAAACAAAAAGAAATGGATCCGTTTGCTCATTTTCGACGGATTTATAGTCTACGGTGATGGATTGGGCCTAGTATTAATGCAATTCGTTTCTATTGCAGGAGAAATTGTGGTGTTTAGCTCTCACTCATGAATCCGCTGGCTTCTCCTTGTAAATATAATTTCTTTTTCAGAATTTATGATGTCCTCTTGTTATCAAATTCCATAACGATTATGGGGTTTTATATTTATTCAATTGTTAAACATTCACTTTTAGCGTACCGCTTAAACTAAAAATCCAATCGCAAATTGATAATCACGTGATATTGTATGGATGTGATTGGTGCTAACGTAATCGCCTGCAATCGCAGTGATTGCAATTTTTGGCGATTAAGGGTGATTGAAAAAATGATTGTCGGAATCGTAATCGCTAGTAATCGCAACAAAACATTAATATTCTAATTGCAGTTAAAAGATTACGTTACGATAACGTTTTGTAATGTTTTGATTAAATGACCAAAATACTCTAATATTAATTAATATATATACATACATATCATATTATATATATAAAGAACTTACGTATATATATGAAATATATAAATACATACATATAATATATATATACATATACATACATTTATATATATACACATACATATATATACATACAAACATACATATATATATATACACAAACAATCATATATACATACATACATCTATATACATGTACACATATATACATATATATATATACACATATATATATATCCATGTACATATATAAACATATACAGTGGTGGATCTAGAAGAATTTTATAATAGGGACAAAAATAAAAAATATATATAATACAAAAAAATTCATAAAAATATATGGCTAATTAAATAAAAATTTAAAATTAAAAAATGGAAAATAAGAAGAGAAAAAGGAAAAAATATAGGAGATAGAGATTTTTTTTATTTGATTTGTTAGATAACTTTTTAAAATACATTCAAAATTAACAACAATGGGGTCCACAACCAAATTATAATGGGAGTATTAACTGTATTTTTTCAAAATCTTTAATAAATTTTATAAATAATTTTTAAAAAAAATTATTGGAGGGCAGTGCCCCCATTCATCTTCAAGTGGATCCACCCCTGAACATATACATACATATATATATACATATACACATATATATATACATACATACACACACATACATATATATATACACATACATACACATATTTATACACATATACATATATACATATATACACATATACATATATACATATATATATACACATATATATATATATTTATATACTTAATATATATATACATACATAAATTAAAAAAATATATTAATAATTTTGTTTGGTATATATTATGTTTGATATTGTTTGGTTTTACCAATAAATATTTTTAATATTAAAATTATCTTTCAAAATAAATTAAATTGATAATAAAATTATATTTTAAAATTTATAATTAATTAACTTATAAATTTAATAATGATTTGATATTAAATAATAGTAAAAAATTAATTAAAAATATTTTAAAAATTGTTAGTATTGTATATAATAAAATGATGTTTTTTTCTTGTAATTTAAACTAAATCGCAATCACAATCGCTGTCAACAGTCGTTTTAAATCGCAATCACTCGCAATCGCTACCAACAATAGTTTTTCTACCAGTCAATACCAATCGCCTAGAATCGTCAGCAAACGCATCGTAAACGTCCGTAATCACCGTGATTGTCCGTCATTGCGATTGCGATTCCACCGTCCAAACACGTAGTATATCTTAGACATCAACAAGAAGCTTCTGTATGAGGCAGAGGGTATATAACCTTACCGTCCGTGTCGCAAAAACCCTGGACCTGCGTTTCTTCTGTTTGGCTCTCTCAGGACGGCAGCCAAAACCCTAGAAGCCCCGACATGGGTAAGGTCAAGGGAAAGCATCGTCTTGATAAGTATTATCGCCTCGCTAAGGAGCAAGGTTACCGATCTCGTGCTTCATGGAAGCTTGCTCAGCTCGATACCAAGTTCTCTTTCCTCCGCTCCGCCCATGGCGTGCTCGATCTCTGCGCCGCTCCCGGTGGTTGGATGCAGGTCGCCGTTCAGCGTGTCCCCGTTGGCAGTCTCGTCCTCGGGATCGATCTCGTTCCGGTTGCTCCGATTCGTGGGGCTGTGGCGATCGAGCAGGATATCACGAAGCCCGAGTGCAGGTCTAAGATCAAGCAGGTGATGGAGAGGAATGGTGTTAGGGCTTTCGATTTGGTTCTGCACGATGGGTCGCCCAATGTCGGTGGTGCGTGGGATCAGGAAGCCATGAGCCAAAACGCTTTGGTTATTGATTCCGTGAAGTTGGCTACCGAGTTCTTGTCTCCGAAAGGGACTTTTGTTACCAAGGTAGGATTTTCTCTCTCTAATGTATTGTGTTTTGGGGTTTTCAGGTTGAAATTTATGCTCCATTTTTATCAGATTCTCTTGAAGTTATGGTTGTAATGTGGTAATTAGCTAATACGGATGGTTTTATTGAGTTATTTATGCAAACCAAAGGTTATTGCTTTCAACTTGGACGAGTTTCATGTATGAGAATGATGTTTGCTCTCTGGTCCTTTCAGTGATCTTGGAACTTATTTTGGAGTTCTTGGGTTCTAACCATGTTGTGACGTGCTTCGGTATAATGTTCTGATCGTTCCTTTATTTGTTGTGCTCTAGGTTTTCAGATCACGGGACTATAACTCTGTGCTCTTCTGTCTTAAGCAGGTATTGTTTAGTTTTGCCTCTCCTTTCCGTTTAGGTATTATTGGTTTTGATTCTTAAGCTTCGTGGAATTTGATGTGCAGCTGTTTGAGAAAGTTGAAGTGTTTAAACCACCAGCTAGTCGTTCAGCTTCTGCAGAAACATATCTTCTGGGTCTGAAGTATAAAGCTCCTGCCAAGATTGACCCTCGTCTTCTTGATGTCAGGCATCTCTTCCAGGGTGCAGTAGAACCAAGAAAGGTAACTACTAATATCACCTATAATATTTGTGGGAATTGTTGGGGGATTTATCCCTCTTTCTTGTTGTTTAATGTGCCATTGTGTTATAACTTGTTCTCGTATTTATAGGTTGTGGATGTGCTTAGAGTGAATAAACAGAAAAGACACCGTGATGGGTAAGCCTCATCTGCTAGTTATCTTTGTTGTTTTATGATCTTCTCCTAGATGTATTTTTCTATATACAGGTACGAAGAGGGAGAGTCAATTGTGAGGAAAGTTGCATCAGCGGCTGATTTCATCTGGTCTGAAAATCCTTTAGAGATTCTTGGTTCTGTCACTACTATATCCTTTGATGATCAAGCTTCTTTACCTATTAAAGACCATGACTTGACAACAGAAGAGGTACGATTTTTGTTCTTTCTTGGATTTTATCCTCAGTAATAGACGGAAAATCCCTTCTAAGTCAATGCCCTTAGGTTGTTTTTAATGCCTCACATTTTCTTGGGACAGATTAAAATTCTCTGTGACGATCTACCTGTTTTGGGGAAGAATGACTTCAAGTATCTCTTAAAGTAAGACATACATTGCTGTTTTGTTCATGTACCTTGTAGCATATGATTTTCATTTTTATTTATATGGTTTGCCAAGAACGTGGTAGAGCTTAGTTTCAAATGAATCATGATATGGTACACATACACAACATAACCTTTCATGCCATATGTGACGATGGAACACCCAAGCAATTTGAAATATTATATGTAATTGGTGTACTTCTGGAAGTACCTCAAGTACGATTGACTTCCATCAGTCGTCCACACATCACCTGAAATACTCTCAGTCATTTTACGGGTATTGATCTTCCCTCTGTCGTCCTCTTGAGATCCTTGGTTCTGTTACCACTATATCCTTTGATGATCAAGCTTCTTTACCTATAAAAGAACATGATTTGACGACAGAAGAGGTGCAATTTTTTTTTCTTTTGGTTTTACCCTCTGTAATTGAATTATGCTTATTATTCCGATACCCTTTCGTTGTTTCTAATGCCTATTGTCTTTTATTGCGGCAGGTTAAAATTCTTTGTGATGATCTACCTGTTTTGGGGAAGAATGACTTCAAACATCTCCTAAAGTAAGACATACACTGATAGGCCAATAGTTTCCCTGGCATTGATCTTTTGCGTCTTTCATCAACCATCCACTCATTGTCCTGAAGTACCATGAGTTGCTTTACAGGCATTGATCTTCGCTTTGTCGTGTAGGTGGCGAATGCAACTCCGGAAGAGTCTATCTCCTTCACGGAAGGAAAGTTCTAAGAAAGATCCTGACGCTGGAAAGGAGGATGAGAATGGCGGCGATGATAAACTTCTCAATGAATTGGAGGAGTTGACAAATGCGACAGACCGCAAGAAGAAACGAGAGAAGAAGCTCCTTGCAAAACGGCGAGCCAAGGTACATGACATTGACCTCTCCATGGATATTAAAATCAAGTCCCTTGTCCCGGATTGCAGGAGTTGAACTAGTGATTGAATCAAGAAGAGTATTCAAAGGTAAATGAGTGTATGTGTTCTTTCTCTGTTGGTGGACTGATGATATAAGTAGCTTTTTTGTGGCTGATTTAAGGACAGACATATGGAGATGGAAGAAGTTTCTATTCACAAAAGGGACAAATTTAGAATGTAAATTTATGTTTAAATTTAATCAATATGCACAGCAATTTTTGTTTATGGAAGTTTGCTTTATCACTTAGTTTTGTTGCAGCAATTTGTTTGTTTGTATATGCACCTAAAATGTTCTCAATCCTCTGACTCTTGTACCAGAATAGATAGAGCCAGTTGATCACGAGGTTTACTTGATATGTCCCGATTATATATAGGTGTTTAAGAAATTTACAGACCTAATGTTTCCTCTGCATTATTCATTCCATTTGCCAGGATAAGTTGCGGAAGGCGACAGGTGCTCAGGTAGATGTCCTTGAAGATGGTTATACGGACCATGAATTGTTCTCTCTTTCTTCTATCAAGGTACTCTCCTTTATCCCTTGTAAATTCTGCCTTGTCTTGTAAGAAGCTTCTTATGGTGTTGTCCAGTCGCAACGATTTTCTTCTGACTGTGTATTGAAAATATTCCTCTCCTTTTTGAATTATTCTGTAAAGCTGTAAAGTTAATTTGGACATGTTCCTCCTCCTTGCATGGACTTGTAAAGCTAAAAAGCGATTCACTTGTTTTTCCTTCAGGGGAAGAAAGACCTTGTGGCAGTTGACAATCACGAAGATGGTGACGGTGATGGTAATGGCAATGATAGTGATAACGGAGAACATGGTGATGGAGCTTCAGGTGACTCTGACAGTGATATTGACTCTGATGAAGAACGCCAGAGGTCAGGCCGTAAACCCTTTCCATAGATCGGATTGTTGTTTCAAGAAAACCATAACAATGTTTAAGTTGTGTTTGTTCATGTTATCCTTATAATTTATTGGTTACAGTTACAGTCAACAAATGGAAGAAATCTTTGATGAGGCCTATGACCGGTATATGTCTAAAAAGGAAGGGAGTGCTAAGCAACGGAAGAGGGCTAGGCAAGCCTATGCTGAAAAACTGGAGGTATCCTTCTATTCATGATACGTGCATATTTGGAAGGAAAACACCACAGGTTTCTGAAATGGGGGAAATTTCTCTCGGCTTTGCAGGAGGATGGTGATGGTGATGAAGAGATCCAATCTGATTATGATTCGGATAAGAACGAGGGCAATGATGAGGCAAACCCTCTGGTGGTACCTCTCGATGATGGGGAAGCAGCAACACAGGAGGAGATTGCCAACAAATGGTTCAGCCAGGATATCTTCGCCGAAGCTGTGGAGGAAGGAGACTTGGGACAAGACGACAGCCAAGACCAAATGCAGATCGAGAAACCGAACAAAAATCAGTCTAAAGCTGACAAGTCAAAGGAGACGAAGCTGAAATCAAGCACGGGCTCTGATCAGACCCAGCCCAAGAGCACCAAGAACGAAGACGATTTTGAGATAGTACCCACCCCAGCCACGGATTCAAGCTCTGACTCATCCTCTGACGAGTCTGACGAAGAAGACATCAACGCAAAAGCTGAGATATTGGCATATGCCAAGAAAATGCTTAGGAAGAAGCAGAGAGAACAAATGCTTGACGATGCCTATAACAAGTACATGTTTGATGACGAGGGTTTACCCAAGTGGTTTGTGGATGACGAGAAGCGGCACAGGCAGCAAATAAAACCCATTACCAAAGAGGAGGTTGCAGCAATGAGAGCTCAATTCAAAGAGATTAACGCTCGTCCTGCTAAGAAAGTGGCCGAGGCCAAGGCAAGGAAGAAGCGAGCAGCCATGAGAAGGCTCGAGAAGGTGCGTAAGAAGGCAAACAGTATATCGGACCAAGCGGATATTTCAGACCGTTCAAAGGGGAAGATGATTGAACAGCTATACAAGAAAGCCGAGCCTAAGAAGCCTAAGAAGGAATACGTGGTGGCGAAGAAGGGAGTCGGGGTTAAGGTTGGGAAGGGTCAAGTGAGAGTCGATAGGAGGATGAAGAAGGACACGAGGGCTAGGGGGACGGGAAAACCCGGCAAGAAGGGGAAGAAAGTCAGCGGCGACAAGAGGCAGAAAGGGAAAGTATCTGCCGGAAAGAAGGGGAAGAGAGCCATGTAAAAGCGCACGTGCGCATTAGGACACCACTGTTCTTGATCCGAGGAAGAAGCCTGAGTTGGTAGGAACAGCTTTTGTTCTCTTTTAACTTTGAGCTAATTCACATTATACCAATTTTGATGAACAACCAGACAAATGTGCTGTTGTTTTGGTTAGAATGGTCATGGAGCCTTCAGCCATGTAATTTTATGTACTCTCTTCCCTTTCGAGGAATGTTCATGTTTTTTTAGAGAGTAGAAACCTTTGGAGTCTGATTCTATTTTTACCTAATTATAAAAAGTTAATAACTTCACAGATCAACGAAGTGCCCACAAATTGTAGTCAAATGTTGATATTGTAATTTCTAATTTTAAGCACCTTTGTCTATCTCGATCTCGACACTGTGAAACAGTTTCCATGGCGGATTTCGGAGAGCTCGAAGCCCAGGACGGATTGAGGATGCCATGGAACGTCATCCCAGGAACCAAGGAAGAAGAAACTAACTGTGTCATCCCTGTTTCCGCCATTTACACTCCTCTCAAGCTCCTCCGCTCCCATGTTTCTCCTCTCCCTTACTCTCCTCTCCGATGCCGTTCTTGCCGCTCCGTCCTCAACCCATTCTCCGTCGTCGATTTCTCTGCCTGCGTCTGGATCTGCCCCTTCTGCTTTAATCGCAATCCCTTCCCACTCAACTATTCCTCCATCTCCGAGAACAATCTGCCTCCGGAGCTCTTCCCTCACTCCACAACCGTCGAGTATCTATGTGGTTCCTCCTCGTCGTCTCCTTCTCCTCCCGTGTTTCTCTTCGTGCTCGATACGTGCCTTATCTCCGAGGAATTGGACTTTCTCAAGTCCTCTCTCTCTCAGGCTCTCGGTCTGCTTCCTGATTCCTCTATCATCGGTCTCATCACGTTCGGTTCCCATGTCCATGTCCACGAGCTCGGATTTCACCATTGCTCCAAGTCCTATGTCTTCAAAGGTCACAAGGAGTTGACAAAGGATCAGCTGCTTGATCACTTGAATTTCTTCCTCAAGAATCCTAAGCCTTCTTCTGGTGTAATTGCGGGTGCCCGCGATGGACTCTCTTCTGAAGACATCGCCCGCTTTCTCTTGCCGGCTTCTGATTGCCAGTTTACGCTTCAATCCGTACGTAAAAGTCTTTTCTTTTGTGTTGCTGCTTCCTCTTTTTGTAGAAAGCTGATGACCTTTGCTTCTGTCTTAGGTTCTGGAGGAGCTAAGGACTGATCCCTGGCCTGTTGAAGCTGATGAACGCCCTTCCAGGTGCACCGGTGTTGCCCTCAGTGTTGCTGCTGGTCTGTTAAGGGCTTGCTTTCCTGGGTCCGGTGCTAGGATTATGGCCTTTGTAGGTGGTCCTTCTACTGAAGGAGCTGGAGCTGTGAGCCCTTTATCTCTATAGCATTGTCTTATCTCTTACAATGTAGGAAAGCTGGATGTGATGATAATCTTCGTATGATTCTTTCTAGATTGTGTCGCGGAATCTTTCTGAACCAATTCGTTCTCACAAGGATATTGATAAGGATTTTGCTCCCCATTATCACAAGGCCATCGAGTTCTATGAAGGGCTTGCCAAACAGCTTGTTCATCAGGGTCATGTTCTTGATGTTTTTGCTTGTGCCGTGGATCAGGTAACTGGAAGGAGAATGTACACGTCCTGTCTTAGTGTTGGCATTGCTTCTCTACTACCGTGTTACTTCTGTATATCTCTAGGTTGGCATTGCGGAGCTTAAAGTTGCAGTCGAGGGGACAGGCGGATTTGTCGTGCTTGCTGAAAGTTTCAACCACTCTGTATTTAGGGATTCTCTGAAGCGTGTATTTCAGTCAGGTGAAAATAATGATCTTGGGCTGTCCTCATGGTAAGGACCTGTCTGAATTTTCGAGTTATAAGGAAGAGAGTCCATTCTGTAGCTACAGCCATTTTGTTGGCTCTATAGACATTTTATTTGTATTTACTTAAATGCAGATCAGCCAAAGATACCACCTCTTTTACAGTCTTGTTCTGTATTTTTCTCCTGAGTTGTTGCTGAGGGTTTGTGTTATCTTATCTTGCAGTGGTATTTTTGAAGTTAACTGTTCAAAGGAACTTAAAATTCAAGGAGTGATTGGCCCTTGTGCATCTCTTGAGAAGGTATATATTCTAAAACCTTGAATGTCTCTTCTCTCTTTTTGCTTTTTGTGTGACCATTATAATGTCTTTCTGGTGATTGTTTTTCAGAAAGGACCATTATGCTCTGACACCATAGTGGGTCAAGGGGGCACAAGTGCATGGAAGATGTGTGGCCTTGACAACAGCACATCCATATGTTTGGTTTTCGAAGTTGCCAGAAAGGATAAACCTGATGTTGCTTTATTGTCGCAAGGCAATCAACTTTACTTCCAATTTTTAACATAGTAGGGGCTGTGCAGTTGTCCTTTTTAGACTAATGGTTGTAAATTTGAATGGAATGGTGTGGTAGACGTTCTTTTCAACTAACATCAGTTATGTTTCTGCAGCTATCAGCACTCAAATGGTCAAACAAGACTCCGTGTTACAACATTTTCGAGAAGATTGGTAGTAGGAACTGGAAGCATACAGGCAAGTTCTGGGTCATTTTCCTAGAATTAGTTCTACCATAAGAAAGTGATTGTCGACACTTACTCACTCTGGACTGAGTTTCCCTTGTTTTCACATCCAAGATTATGGACTGTATTCTTCTACATTCTGAGCATGGTGTTTGTTGAGCTGCTTATGAAGTGTTTTTTGGGCATGAACGAATCTGTTTTCCTACTTTTTGTTCTGTACTTTTTGCATTGACTCCTTTATATACAGTCTCCAACTATTCCTCTAAACTTCTGGGTGGTGTAGGAGTTGGCTGCGGGTTTTGACCAGGAAGCAGCTGCTGTAGTCATGGCACGCCTTGTTTCTTTCAAAATGGAAACTCAGGTACTGTTGATAACTAGCATGAACTAGTGGTATCTGTTGTTTTGAAGATCTGAATCTGATGTCTTTCTTAGGATCATCTTTTAATTTCACTTAGCTTCACTTTAACTTTATATACAATTGTCATTTTAACCATCTCTATATTAACTTTTTGAACAGTTAAAATTCTCCTAATTTCTGTGAAAGAAATACCCGTTTTTATTGACCTGAATTTACCAGTTACTACAGTCCAGAAGATAATTCATGAACATGAACCACCTTTTACTTGAGTTTAACAGAATAGCAGCCTTTGATATTGGCCAACTTCACCGCATTTTTTTTTCTCGCAGGTTGAGTTTGATCCTGTGAGGTGGATAGATAAATCTTTGATAAGTTTGTGTTCCAGGTTTGGAGATTACCAGAAGGGTTCTCCAGCTTCCTTTACCTTGTCTCCTCAGTTCTCAATTTTCCCACAGTTTATGTTTAACTTGCGCCGATCTCAGTTTGTTCAGGTACATGTCCGTACTATTCATAAATGTATTTTACCTGTAATTGAGATTTTATTTGAGCAAATCTTTGGTCTCACCTTCCATGGTTTTAGGTCTTTAACAACAGCCCAGATGAGACAGCTTATTTCCGAATGATATTGAATCGAGAGAACGTGTCTAATTCAGTTGTGATGATTCAACCTTCATTGATTTCCTTCTCATTCCATTCCGAACCAGAGCCGATTATTCTCGATGTGTCATCCATTGCAGCCGACAGAATTCTGCTATTAGATTCATATTTCACCGTTGTGATCTTCCACGGAATGACAATTGCCCAGTGGCGGAAAGCTGGATACCATAATCAACCTGAACACCAGGCAAGTAGTGTTCTTGATGCTACTATCTGCTGCTGCATATTACCATTAGAGAATCTCTTCCTCTCAAATCAAATCTGAATAAATTTTTTTTTATGTATTTTGTGCCATAATGCATGTAGGCATTTGCACATCTATTGCAAGCTCCTCGTGACTATGCAAACGTAATTATCAGCGAAAGGTTCCCTTCACCACGTCTTGTGATATGTGATCAGCATGGTTCACAGGTACGTATCCTCACTTCATAAAAGCTTTTCCCCCCTTTTTCACGTAAACAGCTATCAGCTAATGGCTTGACAAAATAGTTGGATTGATGTTTATATTTTGTGGGTTCAATGCTGAAAAGTTTGTCAAAGAGTATAATTTATAAGCTAAGTGATGGTTTGTGTTGTAGGCTAGGTTTCTTCTTGCAAAACTGAACCCTTCTGCGACATGCAACACTGATGCTCCTATTGGAGGGGGAGGGGACATTATTTTCACAGATGACGCTAGCTTTGAGGTGTTCCTTGATCATCTCCAACGATTAGTGGTTCAATGCTGAAAATGTCTGTTAAGACAGAGATTAAGATTAGAGATTACTTGCTGAAAAAAGAAACACACAAACTCATCCACTTTGAAAACTCTGTGCCTCTCCTCATCCATTTCAAATCAACAATCAAAATCTTCTTCAACATGAAAAACCACAACTTGAAACAGAGGCTTCAATCGGGAGACAGACATTTCTTTTCTGGTAACGGAGTTGATGTTCCCGTTGATTCATGGTGATTGAGCAATGGGTCTGGTAATGCAGAGCCAAGTTCTTGACGACCCGTCGCTGTCTGTGTGCGACATTGGGAAATGCCATGACCCTTTCTCAGATTCCTATATTATAGAAAAGGGGGTCAGAAGTGTTTAGGATTAAACAAAAAGGTAAATTATGAACACGATGAGCCATACCTGAATGACAACTGAAAATGGAGGTGGCATTTCCAACTTCAGGTTCCCTTTCACAAATGTATACCTAACCTGCAATAATGGATGGATTCAACAAACAAACCTTACATCAGAAATCGCAGAGCACATTGTCAATATCACACAAGTACCTGATGTCTTTCTTTCCACTTTTGGAAAAAACTGCTCCCTAATAGTTCAAAAATGTGATCTCTCATCTCATCGTTCGTCACCAGCAGACACTTGAGCTTAACTGCAGCGTACAGCCAGTACCTAGAGGAACCACATAGTATGTATATGTGTATATATATAAGCCATATGGATAAAATGTGAGAAGGGAATTTACCGACACATCTTTCCAAACTAACGGATTATTATGGATGGTATTCATACCAATCATCATTGGAACCGGGTGGCGTAGCATACAAGACGCCATTAGTAATCCATTCTTCGACCAACTTCCGGTGTGAAGGATTATCCAGAAGGGCTTGGACTCGTTTCTTGTGCAAGACAACAAGTGGCCATTTGTTACCACTTTTATGATAGAGTTCCATCACCACAGCTTCAAGCTGCTCTATTGCACATGTACATTGTCATTATCACACACAAGTACTTGAAAAGCTTTGACTAAACCAATACATGTATATATGTAATGCGACCAAACCTGTTGAAGGCTGAAACCACCATCTGCAAAATTTTGTTGGTAGAGTCCAATATTTGCTCCATCGAGTATAGCTTCATAATCACCATGTCTTTCCAGCCAATCCTGCCAAAGAGATGGTTAAGTAACAATTTCAACAAACTTTGATAACTTGAGCCTAACACAGAGAACACGCAGGCGGGGTTTTCATTTCAAGCTAAGTTTAAGAATGATTACCGAACCCATAAAAGCTCACTTTCCTTCAACTTTGATAACTTGAGCCTAACACAGAGAACACGCAGGCGGGTTTTTCATTTCAAGCTAAGTTTAAGAATGATTACCGAACCCATAAAAGCTCACTTTCCTTCATCATCCCTTTCAATCAATACCCATAACTACCGACAATTCACATTCAGAACTGTGGGGGATCAAAAACCAGATTCCAGGCTCTCTGATTCTATAAACGAGGCATAAACATAATCACATGAAAAAATTATGCATGGTAGAAAAATACAGTGCATCAAACTTGACACACGTATTTTGCAGTGTCAAAACCCTTCAGAGATCTATTCTTCAGAGTATTTATTTCGTGCAATTTTTTCTGAAACAGACTTATAAGTTCCACATAGTATCAAACACAAGTAAAGAGGAAACTAAAAATCATATTTCATAGCTCACCTGGAACTCAGTAAAGTTTGCTATCGTCTCGTTGGAAGTCATCTTTGCTTTCCTCTCAATAGCCAGAGATGCCAAAGAATCAGCAAAATTATTCGTCTCTACCTCATTTGTATCAACACAAGCCAATTGCTCTCCACAGCTCAAACATTTTCCAATCGGGCTCACATTTCCTCTCTCCACTATCCACTTTCCCTCCCCAACCCATCCATACCCGTGCCACCCACCCCCATTCTTTGAAACAGCTTCTCTAAGCAAACCCACATCACTACCCATACCATTGTCACTAACCTCACTAGCTCTATCACTACTGAACCAGTCCTCAATGATTTTCAAAGTTTCCTCACTAACGCAACCGACACATTCCCTTAATTTATGCAAATATCTATAAACCTTGCTTTCTTGGCCTATGGCAGAGCTTACCTTCAGCAAAGCAGAGATCTCAGCCTCCTCCAACATCACCCCTGCAGTATCCATGTGTTCCTCCACTTCATAGGCCTTTTCAGCCTCCAATTTCTCACAGAAACAAAACAATACGGGCGAATAGGTCCTTAGACGCGGTGTGGATCCACCGCCCGTCGCAACCATGTCCCTCACAAGCTTGAAAGCATAATCACCATCGCCCTTGGTGGCAGCAAGCCTAACCACTGCAGTGATGGAGGCCTCATTAGGAGTTATCCCGGACGAGACCATCCTCTCAAATATCTCGAATCCACGATCAATGGCTATGGTTTTCAGTGACGGCTCAGTCGTGGAGGCAGAGCAAAGGTAAAGAAGGGTCTGAAAGTGCTGCTGTCCGAGGTGTACAGTGCCAGCAGCCATGGATGCATCATACAAAGCCATGGCAGCTTTGAGGTCCTTGGATTTGGAGCAAGCATTGAGATTCACGAGCAGATTCTTCTCTGGATTGTGGTTTAGCTTCTTCCTTTTGTTGGGCTTCGCCTCGCTCTCATCGTGGTGACGAATTTGACGCTGATCTATGGCAGTCATGGACTCAAGCGGCGGCTGTGGGCAAGATGAACAAAGAGACCTTAAAACCCTTTCCTGAGTTCTCATTAGGGTTTGTCAAATCCCAAAACCATCATTGTGACAAAGAAATCTCATGAACCCAAAAAAATAAATTCAGAATTCCAGCCTTCGTCATGTAAATACATCACTGAACGATACAGAGACATAAGTACTAACACAGAGAAGGGTATCGATTTAGCAACACAAATTCCATAACTTTCAAGCTGGGCACATAAGCAACCTAACCAATACGTGGAAAGAGATCAAATCAAAACAAAAAAAAAAAGCAAATTCTCAACCACCCATCAGAAAAATTACGAAAAAAATCTACTTTTTCTGTAAAAGCATTGAGAAAAAAACACCAACCGGAGCTGAGTTGATAGAGATGATATTCGGCTTGAATGGTGCGCGAAGAACTCTTGAGCGTTCCCTTCGACTTCAGAAAAAGTAGGTGTTCTAAGCAATTTCTGAAGCGTTAATGGACATTTGATTAAGAAATGATATTTTAGGGTTTTTTTCTCAAAAGAGAGCAGGCCGGAGGAGGAGGAGAGAAGCAGATAGAGAGAGAACCAATTACTGATTTTGTGTAAATAAAATTAGTGTATAAATATGACCAATTAAAAAAATCTTTATTTATAATATTTATGCAAATTTCCTCTAATTACTGTATAAATACTCGAGCTGCTGAAGCACGTGCTTGACGTGTAAGGTTTCCAAATTTCAAAAACCCTAGCTTTCTCTGGATTTGGATCGAAAGGTCGCGATCAAAATGGCTGATTTCCGAGGTTAGTCATTTTTACGCTTCATTTGGATTTTTCTCGTCCGTGACCGAGATCCTATCTATTATTCGTTTTCCGCGGTCATTGTTAACATTTGTTGATTATTGCATTGGAATTTCCGTTACGAAGAACCCTAAATACAGCTTGATTGGTTGATTCGAGGGATTTTTCCTCGTTAGTAGCGTCTACGCTTGCGGGAACATGGGAAATAGGAATATAAACAATAATTCGTCGTTGACGTTGTAGAAACACATTGCCTCATTATTCTTGATACTCTTTCTGGGTTTGTTTGTTTTTTTTTAAATCTTTCTGGGTTTGTTGTTTTACTGCAACTTCAGGTTTCTCATCCTGCCAAAAGATAGGGAGAAACAGGATAAAACGATGTTAGATTTAGCATGTCTGTCTGCTTTACTGTTGAATATACTATGATACGCAGAACGAGTAAAGCGACTGGGTTGAAATTTGCCCCAACGAAGGGATGGCCTGGAATATTCGAGGGTGAGATAACAATTACATCATTTTAATTTTTTTCTGAGGCTGGGTTTTATTTGTATTTCACGGAGTTTCTTATGGAAGATGTGGGCATACGGTAATATACTGGATATCTTTCTATAAGACCAATGGAGATTTTCTAGCACAATGTTTGGAAGCTTTTAAATTTGTGAAAAGTATGAAATATGGAAGCTGCAATGAAGCCACACGAGCAGTGAGAAGTAAACACATGGCGGATGTATAGGCTGACTCATGTTTAGCATCATAAGTCAGAGAATCTCTGTAAAGTTAAAAGCTTAAAGGTGAAACTGACATCCCCTTCATTGGATTTGGCCTCCTTTGTCATGGCATTACTAATATGATCAATTTATGGAAGAATCTGAGAGAAGATCTCTAAGCCTTTATTTGGATTACAAAGTAGATTACGTGTTGTTAGTTTTTTCACCTGTCTTAGGTGTAATTTCTTTTCTCCATGTGTTTTTTTATTAGCCCAGTACTTCTTTTCCTCCTCGGTCATCTTCCCACAGGTGCTGCCTCCAGTATTGTTGTAGTTTGGGAAGGGCACATGGCCTTTCTCAATGCTATCAACATCTCGCATGAGTAGTTCATAGTGTCTCTTTACCACTTTACCTCTTCTGGTGTCTTTCCCCCCACAGCCGTGGCAACATTGTACCAACGGTCAGGAGTGTCCTTGTCGTAGATTGCTAGCACTCTCTCAAAGGCTTTGTTCTGTTTTGCGGTTCCGTGAGAAGACATTGAGCCCGATGCCATTATGGACTTAATATGATGTATAAAAAGAAGGGATTAGGGTGATTGTATGAAGGGATTCTATGGAAGGGAAGACTCCCAGTCAAGGGAATGAATGATATGGTCTCAGATGTCATAGAGAGCTTGCTCTTTATAAAGAGAAGCGGGGGGGAGGGCCAGCTGTCATAGAAATCTTGCAAAAGTTAACAGAATTTTAAGTCCTTGTCTCCATAGGAATAACATAATGAGCAAACAAAGAATATGAACAAAATTGTGGAGATCAGTATCCAAAAGAACCAAAGTAATCACCACGATTGGGCTTTTAACTTCTGACTTCTAAGTGATTTTCGTTCCACATTTTGCATAAGGTGCTTTCCCACTTATGGTATTACTATTAGGATCACTCTTCTTTCCTAGTTAGACTTGTGGTCACATATTCTTAGTTGTGTGTTCTACTCGTGACTCAATACTACTGAGTCACTGCTGAGTTGTAGAGGTGTTTGATCCCTGGGGCCGGGGCCCTCAGGTTCAGACTCCAAATGAAGGCAGTGATCAATCAAAAAAGAATCGCTTACATGATAATGTCTTAAAAGATCTCTTTCATGGATAAACACTAAACCTTCTAGAGATTATTTCATTTCATTTGATTTTTGTTAGTCAATTACATTTGAATTATGAAGTAAATGAACTCTGTTCTCTTATCAAAGCCTCAAGGTCTGTTAGTTCTAGGTTCCAACTATTGGGTGAAACTCTCTGGTAGCTTTGGTATATAAGGACAATAATCAAATTCTTGGACGTCAGTACTTGAGTTTCATCGAAAAGCCAGAATTTTTACTATTGCTCTACATTTGTTGAAAGAAATGCAGGGAAATACCCCATAGCAATTTGAGGATTAGTTGAATCTTCAAAACCATAGATGGAGCTTTTTTGTGTTCACCTTAATCCATATATTATGTTGCAGAAGAATCCGGCCAGAAAGTGGCAGTAAACTTTATGAGAGATCCGACCTCTGGGATACTCTATCCTGGACATGAACAGCGTATGTTATCTGTCTAGCTGGCTAAGCTTTGTCTGTAGAGTGTCAAATTTTTGTGTTTCTTTTGTGGAAGGTCGACATAGTTAACCGGGAAATGGGAACCTCTCCTCGTAGTTTGGTGACTTGGCGGTGAAGTATTGAGCAACCTCAAATGTAACACCAAATAAAACACAATAGGAAGTTAGGAACATGCATATTTGACTACAAAAACAACCGCCATAAGTGATCCACTTGTTTGATTTATGCGTTGGAGGGAAGAACACTTTATTTGTCGGTTAATGCTTAATTCATCTGTTTAGAGTTTGAAAATGTTCACCTCTTGCTGACACAGGTGGTTCAAAGTTTCATGGGCTGTCCTGTTGGTGATGGAAAACCTTAATCAATTATGAAAATCAGAACCAGATCAAGTTAGTCGACTAGTCCTTATAAACCAAAAGTGTGTAATGCCATGGAATTTGTTACAATTTTTGTGAAATAAGATCTATGAAGCAGTCCTATTCCCTGGTATTTTCCTGTTTATATAGTGTATATATCCGGTGATGTTTTAACCAGGAAACCACAATCTGAAAAATCTTGCTCGTTACTCAATGGTGTTAACTTTTCAAAGTTGTTATCATGCGTTTATTCTTTTCTTGATAGTACATGTTGATATCAGCATCGGATACTTGCTTTTGTGATATGAATTTTATCATGATATTTGGATTTTATTTGTAGCTGCATTTTATTGTTCCAAGACTCAAAGGTCTCAGTTAAACCTTAACCATTATCTGATATGTTTATATTAACAGGATCAGTACCAATAGGATGACGTGTTTTAGGGGTAGCGATGAAAAACAGACATTTCTACAAGGAAGTGCTTAAAGCCGAGAAGGAATCTTAATTACGGGGCCAGTTGCTGAAATATATATTCCAGAGATATAGAGGCTGCAAGCTGCTGATTAAATTCCGCAAGCTGGCATGCACGATGTGTATTCATAGCTTCCGGTCGTCTTCAACCCAACCCTCTTGCTTAAGCATTGAAATGGTAAAAACACGTACTCTGCATTTTAGTTTCACGCTATGAAGAGTTAGATTGCCTAAGATTTGAGGGTTTTATTCCATATCCTCTGGCATGCATCAAGTTGCAGTCCTTATGGTCAAGACACTGGCCACATTTATGACATGGCCTAGCCAACCGGTGATGGATGGCTTTCTAGGAATCAGCAGGAAAAGGAAACGAAAGGTCAAGCTTTAAGATACATTATACAGTAGTTAAATTATGCGTATTTCTTATTCTTCCCTGTAGTGGCTTGTCCTTGTTGTGCAACTTGGCTTACTCAGACCCTCTGAAATCCTAACTGGTTCCGTTTACATTGTGAACACAGTGTTCATTGCAGAGAGGTGCAGAATTTGCCTAGTGGTGAGATATTATCGCACCGAAAAGGATGATGCCATGCCCCCCGTCTTTAAGAAATTAAAAGACATAGCATGTTATCACCAATATACTTTTAAGAGGTACTAGAGGCAGAGGATACGGAACCAGGAATCCCACTACTGTTTGGTCCTATGCCTAGGGGGCTTGTTACGGTTAATAGCTTATGGCACGTTCAAATTTGTTGGTTGCTGTAATGGAGAAATGGGGAAGATGCATTGCTAGTCTTGTGAGCATATGATATATAATAATTTCACTTCTATGTTTATTTTTTCAATACAAAATTTAGTTGAACAAGACCATGTCCAAGTAAATTGCATTTTGTTTATATAATTAGTGGTTTTTGGGATTTATTTCAATTCTAATTCTTATAAATATTTTCGTTATCAAACCGTTATTTGTTTTATATGTTACTAATTAAAGTAGATAGCGTAACAAAAAAAATTATGAATTTATGCCGGTGGTGGTACATTTTTTGATGAAAATTTGCACAAATTATACACTTCTGGAATAAATCAAGTTCCTATTTGAACCCGACACCATATTTTGTTAATTTGTGTGAGCAAAGAAAGGGGAGAAGGGAGCAATTCGGGGGAGGGGGGATCAGCGAAAAGTTCCCCCACGCGCACTAGACTTATGGAATTCATCAATTCGGCGATAGTTGGCGAAAACTCCGGACTCGGGGAAATTGATGCCGTGTTCCCTTTAGCGCGTGAGAGGAGATCGTCCTTGACCGCCCAAACAGAAAGGGCCTCAACTGCCCAAATATAATGCGCCTACACCACCCAGACAATAATGGCCCCCACGGACCACATTGATGGGCCTTTACCGCCAACGGAAAAATGGGCCTCGGAAAAAATCTTTTAGCTTGTGCTGCCCTAGTCTTTTATTTTGTTGTTCACCCAGTTTTATACATCACACGTACATTGTTCCCCAATCCATCCCTCCGGGTAGGGCTGGGCACAAATACCCGAAAATCGGGTATCCGTCGGATACTCGTCTCACGGATACCCGATTTTAGGGTACTCGTAATTTTCAAATCCGAATCCAAATCCTTATTTTTCAATACCCGTGAATCCGGATCCAAATCCGGATAATAGAATTTTTAAAACCGGATATCCGCGGGTACCCGCGTATTATGATTATAAATAATTATATCTTATATTTATATAACATTTTTATAAAATACAATTATTTTAGATGAAATAATTTCATATTTTTTTAATATTAATTCAAAAAAATTAAATTTATTATTATTTGTCTCTTATTATCTCTTTTGTCTTATATATTTTATCATAATTCATCAATTTTTATAAATATATCTTCATGTTTTAAAAATTTTATATATGAATATTATTGTTTTTCTTAAATAAATCCGGATCCGGATATCCGCGAGTACCCGACTATTATTCCGGATACCCGTACCCCGGATACTCGTAAATACCAAATCCCGGATACAAATCTCATAGTTAAATACCCGAGCCTCCCGGATCCGAATCCAAATCTCTCGATTTTCCCGGATATCCGACCCGTGCCCACCCCTACCTCCGGGTGCTCTACGGTATTTTTCTTTTGGTCCCGATAAATTTATTATTGGATTACGAGGCTATTTATCTTGGTTGAGGTACTGTTTGTATTTTCCTTCCCGAGTTAGTTTGCCAACGACCAAAAAAAAGGGCGACTATTATGTGCTCGAATAACGTTCCAAGCAAGCAAAAGAGAACAGAAATTAATCTTGATAGTAAACAACACGATGATAAATATTTTTTGAGAAGGATCATCAGGCCACGAATACCAAAAACGATCAGTCACACTTCCAAAGAGCACACGGAACGGTAAAGAAGAGTGGGTAACCCAACACTACAGCTAATTCCATTGCCACAAAACCCTAACAACCCGATTACCAGCCACCACCGCTGCCTCCATACCCACCATCACCGCCTCCATAACCTCCGTCACGACGGCCACCGCCGTAACCACCTCCACCAGATCCGTAACCACCACCACCACCGCGGCGGTTGTAACCACCACCACCACCGCCTCCGTATCCTCCGCCACCACTTCTGTAGCCACCACCACGACCGCCGCCGCCTCCGCCGCTTCCGCGAGACTGAGCCTCGTTCACGGTGATGTTACGGCCGTCGAGCTCCTGGCCGTTCATCGACTCGATGGCGTCTTTCATCGCTTTCTCGTCCTTGAAAGTCACGAATCCAAATCCTCTGGATCGGCCGGTCTCACGATCATTGATGATCTGAAGAAAATACCAAATAACGATACATATATCAGTAAACTATCCAACTAAAACCTGAAAATAAAAAAGTGAAATAAATCGATCGGTCTCCGGGCTCATGAAAGCAGGAAGATAACGTACCGATTCGAAATATAGTTAAACAAACGAGAACATAGTAACAGTATCATCAATGAATCGAATCAAGTAACATAGAAACACAGATCGGACGAGATCAGATGAGATCAGATCCGTCGAAGATCAGAACAACGGAATCGGCTCGGGTGAATCCGGGATCCGGGAGTCCGATCTCTCTGTGAGCGTTTAACGGACCTTGGAGTCGACAACTTCGCCAAACTGAGAGAAGGCTCGTTCGAGAGCCTGGTCGTCGGTGGCCCAAGCCAAACCGCCGACAAAGCACCGAAACTCAACATCAGCAGACGCCATTTCTAAAGAAGAAGAAAGATGGAAAAACTAGGGTTATTTTCAGAGGAGAGGAGAACTGTGTGAAAGCTAAGGCCATCGGGCATCATCTTATAGAAGGGGGGAGGAGAAACTAACCACGGTTTAAATTTTCTAGGGTTAGTTAGTTGGCTCGGTTTCACAGGACCGGAAGTAACCATGATTAGCGGAATGGTTAAGGAAAGCAGTAGGGTCCACCATCACGTGACACTTTTGGCAGTGGCACAAATGGTAAAGCCAGCCACGAGAAGATATTTCTCTCGTTTCCCAAGTAAAATATCTTGGAAGGTCAAATGACACTTCTCCCCCCCCCCCAATTCGCCTGTGATATTACAATCGGGCCGTATCAGAAAAATTAAGTGGCCCATTACAAATTAGGCCTAATGAAACAAAACTAAAAAGGCCGTGATCTAAAAGTAGGCTCCTCTCACTCATTGATGCTGCTTTGGAAATATTCTAGTCTGTATTTGAATATATATATATATATATATAGTATTTTTGTTTTACTATAATAAAAAAAAGGCAACGGTGTTTAAATTCATGATGTCTGAAAGTGTTTGACTGGCTGGAGATTTCAAAGAGATGTAAGGCAATCTGTGCACGTAATGTAGAAACGGTGCTTAGTTGAATTTTAAGAAGAGAACCAATCTATCTGTTTATCATACCATTAACCCAATTTATATTTAGATCATGATCGGGTCTTGGTGTTGACTTGGTTTTTTTTTTTAAGAAACAAGAGTATCATAATAATAATACTACGGGGTGGTTTTCAGTATCGAACAAATTTATTAAAATTAACATTTTTTTGAATTTATTAATGAAAATGCTTTTGCAAAATATTAGTTATTAAAAAATGGTCCAATCCACTCGGTTTCAAAACGATGTCGGTTTAGGGCGGGTGGAAAGTTTTGCAAAACGACGCCGTACCGTACTACGTGCCACAAGCGAGCGCGTAAATAAATTTTGAAAAATCACATAAATAGGAAAAATGACAAATAAATACATGTTAATTTCTTACTTATAAGTACATAAACTTATAATCTCCCAATAAAATATATCAATTCGCAATTTTTGACAAATTAGTATACAGACACTAACACCGTTAACTTTGTAACAGTTTCCGGTGAACAGTGCTGACGTGGCTCGCCGGATTTTCCACGTCAACGCCATATGTCAAACATTTTTTTACGTCATTAAAAAATTAAAATTAAAATTAAATTCATTTAAAATAAAAATAAATTTTAAAAAAATAAATTTTAAAATTTAAAATTTATAAAAATTACAAAATTACAAATTTAAAAAAATAAATTTTAAATTAAATTCAAAAAATTCAAAATTAAAATTTAAAAGAAATATTAAAAAAAATAAAACTTTAAAAAAACACAATAGGAAGTTAGGAACAATATATATATATATATATTACGAGTTCATTCATATTTTTAAAAACTTCCCTATTTCTCTCTCTGATTTAGAAGGAAATAGGAACACCAGAGAGAGAGAGAGAGAGAGAGAGAGAGATTGGTGACCAACAATGATTGGTTTCTGTTATGAAGAACGTAGAAAATGCCACATGTTGAGGTAAAGAAACATAAAAAATCAACATTTGCTTTTGTTAGTTTTCGTTCGCAATCACCAAAATCTTACGTGATTCCATAATTCATAGAGATTCTACTGAACCTACGTCATTATGTGATGTTGAGTGAAGGGTTCCAAAGTTCTTTCGATATCTCTGTCTGGATTTATAATAAAACCATGGTGGATCAGAGCAAGACATGGTCTTGTTGGTGTCCTTCTTCTTCTTGTCTCTAGAGTCAACGTCGCTACAACGTATAGCGTCACCGACTGAGAAATCGGCTCTTCTGGCGCTAAGGTCATCGCTTGGTCTCAGAAGCAGAGATTGGCCTTTAAAGGGTGACCCTTGCTTGAACTGGAATGGCATCAGATGTGAGAACGGTAGTGTTGTTGGGATCGCCATTTCTGGGTTCAGAAGAACACGTCTTGGCGGAAGAAACCCGAGATTCTCCATTGATTCCCTCTCCAATCTGACAAGTTTGATCTCTTTCAATGCCTCCAAGTTCTTGCTTCCGGGTCCAATCCCCGATTGGTGTGGATTGAGGTTGTTGACTTTGCGGGTCATGGATCTCAGTTCTTGTTCCATCATAGGTTCTATCCCGAACAGTCATGGAAACTTGACAAGCCTGATAATCGTGGACTTATCAGATAATAACATCACGGGAACCATCCCTGCAAGTTTGACTCGGTTATCTCGCCTCTTTGTTCTTGATCTTTCAAAGAATTCACTTATTGGGTCTATTCCTCTGTCATTTACCACTTTTGCAAATCTATCAAGTCTCGATCTTTCCTCCAACTCCTTGTCTGGACTGATTCCTGCCAGTATCGGGATACTTTCAAAGCTCCATCATCTGAACCTTTCAAGTAATGGCTTCTCGCATTCTATTCCTCCATCGCTCGGTGACCTCAGTACTCTAATGGAGCTTGATCTCAGCTTCAACCGATCTGAGGGGTTTAAGGAACTTACATATCCTTGTAATATCTGGAAATCGCTTTTCAGGGTCTCTGCCTCATGATTTGTTTGATCTTCTCAATAAATTGCAACTCGTTGATTTCAGTCGCAATGGTTTCACCGACACTCTTCCGACCAATTTATGGGCGTCACCACAATTGATCGTTTTTTATCTCTCAGGCAATCACTTCTCGGACGTGCTGCCTAATATCACTGCCAGTCCTAATTCCACTGTCTTAGAACTCGACATCTCTAGGAACATGTTTTACAGAAAGCTCACAATTTTGTTGAGAAGGTTCCGCAATGTTGAACTATCGAGAAATTACTTCAAAGGTAAAATCCCCGAAAATTTGCCGATCAGTTGGTAATATATGTCAGGAAGAGCAGACAAAGGCAGAGGAAGGAGAACACAGAGGAGAATTAGGTGGCAAGAGCACTGAAGTGGCAGGGACAAAATGTAAAGGAACATATGGAATGTTGCAGCTTTTTATCATGATGGGTTTTATTTTATTACTACCTTTTTTTATGAGCATTTTAGCTGGTTGAGTTTGTGATTGTCACCTCATAAGACATTATTGAGAGAGCTGTTATTTAGCTATGTGTGGGAAGGGGTTTGGGTTTTCATGCAATGTTTTGGTGAATGTATTGAGGGGGAGTGAGGCCTCTCTTTAATAAAGCTTTCAAGTTGTTTCTGGGTTTTGATGAATATAATTCTGCAGTTTTCTTACTTGATTCTAACACGTTGGTATCAGAGCCAGCGATTCAGTCATGGCGCCCAAGGATCAACGTCTTGACCAATTGGAGGAAGCAACTCAGAGGCTGTAATCCAAGATGGGAGAGATTGAATCGTCAATGGGTGAAATGAAAGGATCCATGGTTTCTCTTCAAAAGAAGTGCACACAGATTCCACCAATGAAACAACTCTTGAAAGGATCCATGGTTTCTCTTCAACGAATTTTTTCCGTTGGAATTTTTCAATGGATTTCCAACCGCAATCCGTTGGAATTTTTTAACGGAATTTCCAACCGATATCCGTTGAAAAATTCCAACGGAAATTCCAACTGATATCCGTTGGATTCCAACAGAATTTTCAACCGCAATCCGTTGGAATTTTCCAACGAAAAATTCAAAATATATTCTTGATCCCGACCTCGACCCCGGTCCCGAACCCGACCCCGGCCCCAGCCCCGACCCCGACTGCGAACTCGACCCCAGCCCGACCCCGACTACGATCCCAACCCCGACCCTGATCCCAATCCGAAACTCACTTGCTAGTAGGTCACCCATCCTTCCACTGTTCCAGCCCAATTCTCCTTAACCTTAGAGTTCTAATTGACCATCATCCAACTGCTCCAAGTTAAACTTCTGATATCATATATATAAATGTTTATACATATAAATATTTATATACACATATACATATATACATATATATATATATATATATATTATATGTATGTATACGCATGTGAATTCATTGATCGGGATTTGGGTAAACTCAAAATCGATAAATGAAAAAAGAAACATAAAAATAAATGTAATAAAAAAGAATGATTCTTGTGGCTTAGGAGATAAGATTAGTCCTCATCCCCACAAGAACTCTTGGTATTCATCTCATCACCACGCAAAATGATAAATTCCGGTCGAAAATACTTTAAAAGAATCATTTCATTATATTTGTTATGTGTATGTATATGGTTAATATAGATATATCGATATATATATATATGTATACGTATAAATATATAAAATACATGTATTTAAATACAGGGTAAAACCCCTAAAAAACCTCGAACTTGCAAAAAAGTATACAAATAAACCCTCAACTTGAAAACCTTTCAGTTAAACTCTGAACTTGGCATATGTAACTAATTAAAACCTTGAACTTGCAAATTGTTGCTGTATTAACCCCTTGACCGGTTTGACCCAAAATTCAGGCCACCGGAAATCCACCTAGGACCGAAAATCTGATATCATCTTGTCCACATAAGCAATTTCTCTGCTGTTTTGCCACATCAGCATATTTTAGTCCAATTAAAAATAACCGGTTCCGTGAATTAAAAAAACCGGTTTTGTAAATCAAATAAAACTGGTTTGGACCTTTTTCCCCCTTTCGCAAACCCTAAATTCAGAGTCTTCGTTTCTTTTTCATTTTTCAAGCTCGACTTCGGTTTCAAGCTCGACTTCGCTCCTTCAACCCTAATCTGGCCCGATTCTGCGTTCTGTTCTTGGGTTTCGTCAAATTCGGTGTCATTGGGTGTTGTTACCGTCGGTCGAACAAGGTTGGTGAGAATTTGTTTGTTTATTCTGTTCTTAGTTATATTTCGCTGGCGATGCTTTTCTGTTCTTGGGTTCGATGGTTTTTTGTCTTGGTTTCAGATGAGTTTTACGTCTGATGGTTCTTAGAGTGCTTCAGTTTCGAATGAAAGCTTCAGTTTCGGCCAGAAGGGAACCATATCAGTGTGTTGGTATCCCGAAGCAGTGTGTTTGTGGAGATTATATTGTAAAATTGACATAAAAAACTAAGGACAACCCAAGAAGAGAGTTTTACCGTTGTGCTTCTCATGAGGTAAAATTGGGAAATTTGTGTTACGTTGTTGATTTAAATGTTTTGTTTCTGAATTCTTGCGAAATGTGTTTTAGTGGAAATCTGGACATATGTTTAAATGGGCTGATGTGGCTGTGATTGAAGAAGTCGAAATTCTTGGTGAGATGTTAAAGAAAGTTGTGGTGGATATGGAAGCATTGAACGAGAAAATTCTGAAGTTGAGCATAAATGAGGAGCTGTTGGTGTTTAGGAAAGAGGTTCTTGGTGAGATGCAGAAGACCAGAGGAGAGATTGAAGCATTTAAGGCTAATATGCAGAAAGGTTTTGTCATGTTTATGGTTGTAGTTATGTCGGTTGTGTATTATTATGTCTTATTGCGTAAATGAATATGTAATATGCAGAAAGTATTAGTTGTGTAATATGCATAATGTGTGTGTTGTTGGCAGTGTAGAACTTTTGTTGTAAGCTTGGACAAAATCATGTGTTATATCAGTGTGGTTTTTATGTTTCAATGTTGAAGATGTTTTAAGTGTAGTGTTCGAGGTTTAGATGCAATATAAGCATCAAAAAGTAGATCAATAGTTGAGAGAATTGAAATTATCATGCTGTCTAAAAACACATTGAAGTTTTACATATTGTTTACGAAACATGTGTACAACCGGTGATATTCAACACTTCGGAAACCTGTACCAAAAACAACTGAAACCTGTCTACAACCCCTGCCACCAAAAGAACTGATGTAAACCTTAGACCAAAAGAAATGTTACCAATGTTGGTCTACCAAAAAAAACAGGTTTCCAACCAAAATATGCCAAAATAGATGGTATCGTTCACAATGCAACGAAGTTCTAATCCTTCTTTTGCTGAGCTACTCTTCTGGGAACCTGAAATGGCCTCGGATATGTCTGGTTTGCTGAGGTACTGGCTGATGGTATTGGAAGAGGAGACAAACGCCTTTTTCTTGGATGATTAACAGGTGCTGAGTGAACCGTTTGACTTAATTGTGTTGGAATGGAGGAATCTTCAACTGAAGTATTCGCATTTTGGCTCCTTTGAGTTGGAGATTTCTTCTTCGGAGGTTGACTCGAACTTGATTCGCCTTGTGGATACTAAACAACCAAAAAAATGTAAAAATAATATGTTATATATGTTTTTTATGTTTAATCATTATGAATATACCTTTCTTGGTCGACCCCTTGGGCGTTTTGCACCGTAAAGTAAGACCTCTTCATTCCGACATCCTTTAGCATTGTGCCCAGTTTGCTTGCACTTACTGCATGTCATGTGTCTGCCATGCCTTGTCATTTTTCCACTCTTCGACGGAGACTCTGTGGGATCCTTTCTTCGATGATACTTCTTCGGTCGACCAGGCACAGCTCTTTCCTCAGGGACACCTACTGGAATTTTGTTTGATTTTTTCCACAAGTTTGGTCCGTTCATAGGAAAGATGTTGTTCTGATAGGTATTTTTCCACATTGCAGTTGAAAAATACTCCGAGACATACCTATGAAACAAAATGTGAATGTTAATAGGTAGCTTAATTAAGTTAAATGACATAATAAGGGTTTCGGGTATATGAAACAAAATGTGAATGTGAATGTTGTTCTGGTTCTGGGTTTCTTTTCTCAAAAGATTGCCACTCTTCATCTGTGTTCAGGGGTATAGCTGGAAACACATCATCATCACCCGTATTCTCCTGATCACTGAAAGTCCAACCCTGATTCCCCATGTCTTCCTTTCTGGATACAAGGTTTACCAATTCTTCATCAATTTCTTCACCATCTGCTTCTTCATCTGCACCAACATCAACATTCTCAGCTTCACCAACACCATCATTGTCATCTGCAACATCATCATTCTCATCTCCACCATCCTCACCACTATCAACAGCAGTATCATTCTCATCGAGAATAACATTATCAGCAGTATCAACAGCAACATTCTCATCTTCAGATATCTTATCACCAACTATCTCTTGATCTCTCTCTTCATCTGAAGGACCTTCCTGTGATACTAGCAAAATACGCTCATCGATAACATGGTCCACATATATATCTATTGCTCCCTCTTCTCTAGCTTCTCGGACCATTCTTCTTATTTCCGTATCACAATCTTGCCTAATAAGCCTAACGTCATCAAATGCTTCAGTAGGTAACTTGTACCAAAACCCATATATTGGTCCCCACATATCCTGAGATCGAACCACATCAAGCAACGTAAACCAAGACATAATGTCTGGGTCCATCGGCATGTCCTTCAACACGATACCACCCATGTACTGCATAATATAATCCTTATCGTAATCTTTGCTCCCACCCATATGAAAATTTACCTTAATCATGTCGATTCCTTCGAACTACAGTCCACAGACGATATTTCGAGGCAACATCGGAGCTTTCGAAAGGAGCGAACTCCACCGCACCACGAACAGAACTTTTCCCACCACGGATCACGAAGGCAACATTCGACAGAGGAGATTTTGAAGGAAATCGATCGGATTAGGGTTTCGGAAAGACAAATTAGGGATTTTTAGGGTAGGTGAAAAGTGAAAACTATATATGTTTCGATTTCCCCCCCTTTATTTACCCTCTTTCCAAACCGGTGATTTACAGAACCGATTTTTTTTAATTCACGGAACCGATTATTTTTAATTGGACTAAAATATGTTGATATGGCAAAACAATAGAGAAATTGCTTACGTGGACAAGATGGTATCAGATTTTCGGTCCTAGGTGGATTTCTGGTGGCCTGAATTTTGGGTCAAACCGGTCAAGGGGTTAATATAGCAACAATTTGCAAGTTCAAGGTTTTAATTAGTTACATATGCCAAGTTCAGGGTTTAACTGACAGGTTTTCAAGTTGAGGGTTTATTTGTATACTTTTTTGCAAGTTCGAGTTTTTTTAGGGGTTTTACTCTTTGTAAAACCCCTAAAAAACCTTCAACTTGCAAAAATATATACAAATAAACCTTCAACTTGAAAAACTATCATTCAATCCCCGAACTTGTAACTTTTCACTGAATAAAACCTCGAACTTGCAAATTATTGCTCTAATAAATCTTTGACCGGTTTGACCACAATCTCAGGTGATCGAAAATCTACGTATTAACGGATTGCTGATGTCACCTTATACACGTTATCAATTTTAATTTAAAAAATGACATCAGCAATCCGTCAATACGTGGATTTCTGATCGTTTGAAATTATGGTCAAACCGGTCAAAGGTTTATTAGAACAATAATTTGCAAGTTCGTTTTCAATTAAAATCTAAATTTCCAACCGATATCCGTTAGAATTCCGTTGGAATTTTTTTCCAACCAACATCCGTCGGAATTCCATTGGACATTTCCAACCGATTTTCCAACCGATATCCGTTGAAAATTTTCAACGGATATCCGTTGGAAATACCGTTGGAAATTTTCAACCCAATTTTTCAATTGAATACGTTGGAAATTTTTTTCCGTTAAAAATTTTCAACGGGCATTTCCAACGGATATCCGTTGGAAATTTCAACGGAAATCGCCGTTGAAAATCCGTTGGAATTCGATGATTTTTTGGTAGTGGTTAAACCAGAGGAGTGTGGTTATACTAGCTTCAGTAGGAGGGGCGATCTTGGTTACTCTAACGCTAATAATGCTACTAAAATTGGTGAGCATTTGCATCTTTGGAAGAAGTAACAGATCAAGAACAATTTCTAGAGGAAACCGAGGAATCGGTCCTCTGCCCGAAGGTGAAACAGTGTCTCCTAGAGGAGTAGCCATCAAGTTTGCTAACCTCGGATCTTCATTCACATACCAACAACTACTAAATTCAATAAAGGATTCAATGAAGCAAACCTGATCAAGAAAGGACATTTCGGAGATCTTTCCAGAGGTGTTCTTGAGAATGGCGTTCAAGTCGTCATCAAAAGAATTAGCCTGGACTCTATCAAAAGCGAAGGGTATCTGACTGAGTTGGATTTCTTTGGGCGAGTTGCTCATCCGAGAATAACCCCCCTTATCGGGCACTGCTTGGAGAGCACGAACGAGAAGTTCTTGGTATATACATACATTTCCTGCGGGAATTTACCATGTTCCTTGTTTAGGAAGTCGGATTCATCGGTTGAAGTCGTTGGATTGGATCACGAGATTGAAGATTGCCTTAGGCATAGCGGAGGGCTTGTCCTATTTGCACCATGATTGCTCACCACTCATTGTCCACAGGTACACGTTATTATCATCTACACACACAAACTTCATCCTTCAGGGAAGACAGATCTTAGAGTTTGGATTGAAATTGTTTGAAGAGATGTTCAAGCGAGCAGCGTACTCTTGGATGACCAGTTTGAAGCCAAGCATATATTGAAGAAATCAATGGTCGTCCGAACAGGATCTCCAGGCTGCCGAGGTTGTCCCAGTAAGTCTTTTTTTTTTCTTTTCCAATATAGACATTACATTATCAGAAACTGAGATCAAACTGTTATCTTGCCTTCAGGTCGTCTCAAGACAGCGTTTCTTCAAGTACGTATCTTTGAATTGTTTCAATTTTGTTATGGTTCGTCCGTACAATTTTGTTTTTTTTTTTCTAAAACCCAATTTTCAGGTTTTTCGGAGACAGCAACGCGTACCTATGACGTGTACTTATTGAATCGAAAAGGAAAAGCTCATTTTGGAAAAACTTTTCTGATTTTCTGTATTTACTTTCTCCACTGTACATCCGCTTTTATATAGCAAAAAGGAATCAAAATCTAATAAATTCTATAACAGAAAAACAAATTTACAAAACATAAAGAATAAAGGAGTAAACACGTGTATTTGGTTCAGATAGCTATAACCGGACCCATTTAATCAATAGAGAACCGGTGATAACCAGCTTAACCAAATACCAAAAATATAGGCTCTAATAGTACTGTTTTGGGAAGATACTATTGGAGCCGATAACGGGGAGGCTGGGGATGAGCTCATGCGAAGAAACCCAATTCAGGCAATTCTTGGACGAGATCTTGCCCTCCATTTCTTCTTAAGATAAAGAACCCATGATGAAGATCTTAGACGAGTCGCTTCTAGTGGAGGAGGATTTGAGGAAGAAGTCTGGGCAATGACCATAGTCGCAAGGTCATGTCTAAAACCTAGACCCATGAGACGGCTGCTCATGAGACACATCGTCCAGGCATTGGAGAATCCACTAAAGATCGTGAGGCAAGACAGTGGTGGGTCCGGGAGGTTCCGTACGAGCTCGTCGAGGGGAAGAGTCTTCGGGAGCTGGCGGCAGAGCTCGTCGGACGTGGTGGCCGACGACACATGACGACCAGTGAGAGCAGTAACCGCGGCGCCTCGAGCAGACGCCATGTGAAAGATGTTCAGACGATTGCATACCATACACTGTTGAATTCTTTATTGTCAACACAAAACGAAAATTCATTCAATCGATTTGGCTTTCTACGAACAGATGCTTGGAGTTGGGGGTGAATAAGGTTTTTTTGATTTTTAAGAGTTGAAATTAAAATTTTATAATTTTAGTTCTTGAAAATAAAATAAAAAATATTGTTTTGAACAAATTTCTTATCAGAACACCATAATTGAAGAGCGCAAATGATGGGCGGCAAATCGAACGATGCAAAAATAATTCTCAACGATCATTCGGATTTCTCTTTCATCCAAAAAAAAAAGTTGGGTTTTGTATACTCCTTTTTAATTTTTGTTTAAACGATGGCTAAAACGCGTTTTGCATCATCTTAAGAGCGTTTGCGTTCACAAAACGCGACGCTCGTTACGGATTGGAATTTGTGGGTTTCTGTCTCCGGCTCCTAGTGGGCTTTGTGTATTCAAATGGATCTGGGCTTATAGAGTTATATTGGGCCTGAGTTATGAATCGGGTCCGGATTGGACACCTAACTCGCTCGACAACCTTTTTCACGCGGCACTTGAAGAGATTCTGACCGACCACTCCACCTTTTTTTATCATTCTTCCAAAACACACACGATGCGATGACACGTGGATGGCCTCGGACTCTCCATCAAATCATGCGCCACAGAAATCATCATAAAATCGAACTTGTGGTGAAGAAGCGAGTTTGACTATTCCCTCAACTCGTGTCATGACTCGCCGAGTCTTGACTCGAGGAGGGACGACTGAGTTGACAGCCATCTAATCTGGCAGCCATCTAATCTTCCGTATCGTTGAGAGGTTAATGCTTTTCCAACCGTCCCACAGTCTGGCAGTTCCTCTCATAATTCCCTAGCATATGTTTTTTAGTTATTGCACCTCGAGTATTATTGTTACATGTATCTTTCTATTATTGTATTAATTGACCCTCCAACAGACCACTAGTGTTGTGACTATACACATACATACATGCATTAATGCCACAACCAAACCCCCAAAAAAAAAACTTTAATTTTGTATTAAACAAAATGCTTATTTGCAAACCTAACCATCCGCTAATTCTTCGGCTTTGCTACTGCAAACGTGCACGGTCTTTCACTTTTTTTTTAAAAAAAACAACGTTAATTCAATAATATGTATTGTCATAGTTTTTTTTGTTAATTTAAATATATATATATATGTATGTATGTATGGGTTAAAAACAATTATAATTTTAAATGCATATGAAAGACAAAAATAAAAATGTTTCCTTTTCAAAGTATTTATTAGATACTATTGTTAATACCTTCTTAATTCCTATATTTGACATTTTAGGGATAGAATTTGGCCAAAAAAGTAAAGTCATTACCGAAAATGGTGGAATAATAATTTAATGGCCTAAACAACAGACGATATCATCCTTCTTTTTTTTTTTCCTATTTTTGGCGATTTTGGTGATAGACATTGATCTAAAAACGGAAGTTAGTATGAAAGATTGAAATTGGTGTATTAATATCATACGACACGGATGATGCTCATACATATACGTGTGTATGTGTGTGTGTATATGTACGGTCCTGACGCTTTGCACCTTCCATCATCACACACTCACTCTAATCACAGAGAAGGGGAAAATGGCGAAATCACTAGAAATGGAGCATCCAAACAAAGCTTTGGGCTGGGGCGCTAGAGACAAATCCGGCGTCTTGTCGCCGCTTCGGTTCTCCAGAAGGTGGTTCCCTTCTTCGTCTCTTTCTCTTTCTTTTTTTTTTCCGTCATCGTTCTGATTTGCATGCATTTCCGTTCACGATGAAATGATCCCCGTTGTCGATTTCTTCCGTGTGATCCAAACACTTTAACCTGTTCTGTGTTTTGTTTTGATGCGTTCTCTCTCCCGAATATTGTTTGGCATTTTGAAATTTGAGTGTGCGGATAAGAACATTAGCCATCACGCTGCGCGATTGAGTAGAATCCGTTTGAGATTTATGACGGATGTTTCGAATTTCGATCGACGGCCTTGAAACTGAATTTCGTGGCATGAAAATTCGCATTTTTCGATAAGGGTATGGCGTATTCTCGCGTCATGGGAAAAGGGTTTTTGGTTTTGGACCTTTTATGCGGGGAAATTCGTGGGTTTGATGAGAATCTTGGTGTGTGTAACGTTGATATGAAATTCAGATAAGATCGCATAAGGTTTAGCGAGTTCACTAGAACAAGACATGTCCCTTCATGCACTCTGTTAGCTCACAAATGGCGGAGTCTTGATTTTGTTACCGGATTCATTCAATCGGGACCGTTTTGTCGTGGAAATTTGGTGGACACGACAAATCTAAGATATATATGTTGTCACTGTTTCATTCACTTTAGTCCTTTTTTTGTTTGTTTTATCTAACGTTTGATGTTTTGCAGAGACAATGGTGACGATGATGTTACTGTGAAGATCCTTTACTGTGGGGTTTGCCACTCCGATCTGCACTCACTCAAGAACGATTGGGGATTCACCCATTATCCCATCATTCCCGGGTATGAAATTCGAATGGCTACATTTTCTTGAGATTGTGTATGTTACGTTTTGTGTATATCTCCTGATCAGACTGCTAGTTCTTATATCGTTTGATCCACATATCGGTTTTAGAACTAATAAAGAATGGGTTCCATCACTTTTTCAGGCATGAAATTGTGGGAGTTGCTTCAAAGGTTGGAAAGAATGTGACCAAATTCAAAGAGGGAGACTGCGTGGGGGTCGGAGTGATTGTCAACTCGTGTCAATCGTGCGAGACGTGCGAGCAGGACTTGGAGAACTATTGTCCCCGAGTCGTGTTCACTTACAACTCGCACGACCGTGATGGAACCATGACATACGGGGGATATTCCGATACTATCGTGGTGGACCAAAGATTCGTCCTACGCTTTCCCGAGGGGTTACCACCCGATGCCGGTGCTCCACTGTTGTGTGCAGGGATCACTGTTTACAGCCCGATGAAATATTACGGGATGACGACTGAACCCGGGAAACACTTGGGAGTGGCTGGACTTGGTGGGCTCGGTCACGTAGCTGTCAAGATCGGTAAGGCCTTTGGCTTGAAAGTTACTGTAATCAGTAGATCTCAGGCTAAAGAGAGCGAAGCCATCGACCGGCTTGGTGCTGACTCGTTCCTTGTCACTACCGACCCACAAAAGATGAAGGTAACAGAGTTGATGATCCAATCTATTCGTTATTCTCACAAGTTCCGTACCTTATATATACTCTTGCATTGCGATTTCTAGGCTGCGATGGGGACGATGGATTTCATAATCGACACTGTCTCAGCAGTTCATAGTCTCTTCCCATTGCTCGGACTGCTCAAAGTGAACGGAAAGCTAGTCACTTTAGGACTACCTGAGAAGCCGCTCGAGCTGCCCATCTTCCCTTTAGTTCTCGGTAAGCCGAAACACAGATCTGTCCTAACGAAAACAAAATCGATATAAACATTAACCTTGATTGGGGGGAAAAACAGGAAGGAAGATGGTGGGAGGAAGTGATATAGGAGGAATGAAGGAAACGCAAGAGATGCTCGATTTCTGCGGGAAGCACGGCATCACAGCCGATATCGAGCTGATAAAGATGGACGAAATCAACGTGGCGATGGAGAGGTTGTCGAGATCGGACGTCAAGTACCGATTCGTCATCGACGTCGCCAACTCCTTGACTCAGCCGACGGCTTCGATCTAAAAGACGGAAACCACTTGTGGCTTCGTTTCGTTATTCGTGGTTGGATACGGACATCGTGTGTCTCTGGTATCATGTGTTTTATTTGCGAGGTCTTTATATTCCTTCTCATTCCCAACTTTGGTGAAAATGGATGTGAACATTGTGTCGTGTCTATGATACCTTGTGTGTGTGTTTTTATGGGATTAACCCTTTAATAAATACTGTTGGATGTGGACATTGCGTCTCCCTGCTTAATTTGCGAGGTCTTTGTTTTCCTCTTCACTCCTGTAAAACGGAATTATTTCTAATTAATCACGACGGTCTGTCGATATCTGAATGGATACAATAATGAGTTATTGTTTCAGAAATATTTAATATCTGCTTGTGATGCCACAAGTGGCTGTAGTTTAGTGGTAAGAATTCCACGTTGTGGCCGTGGAGACCTGGGCTCGAATCCCAGCAGCCACATGAATTTTTGTGCTCGACATTGTAAATGGGCCTTGTTGGACCAAATGTTGTATTATGGCCCATATTTCGACATTGATATATATATTTTTATTCTCCATTGCTTTTATTTGTTATGGGGATTATAGTTTCTACATTTTGGGGATATAGGATTCGTTGCACCATCCATCAATTTCTAGCTTTAACAAAAAATGAAACTAATTAAATAATATCAACAGTGGCTATTTCTGAAATAGAATCAAAATATGAGTGTGTGTTTAAGTTTAATCATAATTAAGGAACTCTTAGGTTTTAATTATAATAATGTACGAAAAAACGCTTTATTGTAATCATGGCATTCGAGGGGCTATTCCGTCTTTTTTCACTCCGGTGTTCATATGCTTATCTATCTTTGAATCTACGATTTGTAAACGTATAACATTGGAGATTACCAAAAAAAATTATAGATTACCAAAAAAAAAAACAAAAAAAAAACATTGGAGCATATGTACTCTGCCTTCCAATCCACGAATTGGATAGACGTTGATAAAACGAAATGTATTAGAACACGTGAAACATTTAACCTAGGAGATGGGCCCATACACGCATTTTGGGCCGGACCCACGACAAGCCCTTTAAACCCTCCCATTTACCCGCTACGCCTTCTCGGACACTCTCTCTCTCTCTGCATTTGGCGGGAATTTAAAAACTTCCCGGGAAAATGGAGGCGAAATTCGACGAATAAAGGACAAAGCAGGAAACCCTAGAATTTCTCCCCGCCCTATCTATTCAAACCCAAAACCCTCTGCGCCTCCATTGATTATATATAAGCGTTCTTCGCGTTCCACTGTTTTCGTATCGTCCAGCGTGCACACCTGTTCGACTGAATTTCTCTGAGAAAATCTTTTTCCGAGAAAATGTATGTGGTGAAGCGCGATGGGAGACAGGAAGCTGTCCACTTCGACAAGATTACTGCAAGGCTTAAGAAGCTTAGCTATGGACTGAGCAGCGAACATTGTGATCCTGTCCTCGTGTCACAGAAAGTCTGCGCCGGTGTCTACAAGGGTGTTACAACGAGTCAGCTCGATGAGTTGGCCGCCGAAACTGCTGCCGCCATGACGGCCAATCATCCTGATTATGCTTCCGTGAGTTTGCTTTTTTCCGTTTTTCCAAATCTTGGGACAGAGTATACACAGATTTACTTTCCGGGTATTCCCTGAGTTGGTTGAATTTTGGTTTATAGAGAAATGGGTATTTGATTTATATTGTTATGCCGGGAATTGAAATTCTTATGCAGAAGTCTGGAATCTGGGGTTTTAATAGTTTTCTTGATTGAAATTGTGATTATGTTATGCCCCTAGGAATTTAGCAAAGTTATGTTTTGTTCTTGATCCATTTCTGTATAGTTTCTTGCTCGAAACCATTAGCCTGATTCCCGGTTGAAAATTTAGTGAAAGAAATGAGGAAATCTATGTAGTTGACATATTTTTCTTGTTTGTATTCCAGCTAGCTGCCAGGATTGCTGTCTCAAATCTCCACAAGAACACTAAAAAGTCATTTTCTGAGACGTGAGTGTTGTCTTTCAGTATATTTTGTTTATATAACTGCGAGAAGTGTCATGTTACCATGTGAATTGACTTCGATGAATGTTTTATATCTGCAGTGTCAAGGACATGTACAACCATTTCAATGAGAGATCAGGACTCAAGGCTTCTTTAATCTCTGATGATGTTTATGATATAATCATGCAGGTACATAGTTTGTTTTAGCCTCTCAACTTGGCTATGTCTAATATCTTGCTGAATTGTGTATTCTGTTGGCTACTACCAGAATGCTGCTCGTCTGGACAGTGAAATAATCTATGATCGTGATTTCGAGTATGATTACTTTGGATTTAAAACACTTGAGAGATCCTACCTCCTGAAAGTCCAAGGAAAGGTTGTTGAAAGGCCTCAACACATGTTGATGAGGGTTGCTGTTGGCATCCACAAGGATGACATTGATTCTGCAATCAAAACCTACCATTTGATGTCTCAGCGATGGTTCACTCATGCTTCTCCCACTCTCTTCAATGCAGGAACACCAAGGCCTCAAGTATGTCTAGCCTCAGGATATATATGTGCAGATTGTATTCAACAAAAATGATTTTACTGACTTGTTGACATTGTCTGATTCTGTAGTTAAGTAGCTGCTTTTTGATCTGTATGAAAGATGACAGCATTGAGGGCATATATGACACCCTGAAAGAATGTGCCGTTATTAGCAAATCAGCTGGTGGTATAGGTGTTTCAGTTCACAATATCCGTGCAACTGGAAGTTACATTCGTGGCACGAATGGGACATCTAACGGTATTGTTCCTATGCTTCGGGTGTTCAATGATACTGCTCGTTATGTTGATCAAGGGGGAGGCAAGAGGAAGGGTATGTCCGTACGCTGCTACCTTCATTATTTTCATCTTTGGAGTATCTTGTGTTTGGCTTTTTTTTATGTATATTTTGTTATTGGTGAAGGAGCTTTTGCTGTGTATCTGGAGCCATGGCATGCTGACATCTTTGAGTTTCTAGACCTCCGGAAGAACCATGGAAAGGTACAGCTGAGACCCAAGATATATGTTACCGAGTTCTCTCTACAAAATCTTTTGTGTTAGCTTTTAATATACCCTCAAAATGCACCTTTTCCCACTGTAGGAAGAACATAGAGCCAGAGACCTGTTTTATGCTCTTTGGGTTCCTGATCTTTTCATGGAGAGGGTCCAGAGTGATGGGCAGTGGTCATTGTTTTGCCCTAATGAAGCTCCTGGTCTGGCAGATTGCTGGGGTGAGGAATTTGAGAGGCTCTACACCCATTATGAGAGAGAGGTGAATTCTTTTATAATCATCGGTTTCACAGCTGTTTAACCTGACGTCTTGTATCTTAATACCTGTTTTTTATTGTCTTTGATGTGCAGGGTAAGGCGAAGAAGGTTGTTCATGCACAGAAGCTGTGGTATGAAATATTGACATCCCAGATAGAAACGGGAACACCTTACATGCTTTTCAAGGTAGCAAATAGTCATGATTCTGTGATCAATATTCCTATTCGGCCTCTGGTTCTGACTTTAGATTTCTGATACTCTGTTTTAGGATTCATGCAACAGGAAAAGTAACCAGCAAAATCTGGGTACGATAAAGTCTTCAAATTTATGCACTGAGATCATCCAATATACTAGCCCAACAGAAACTGCAGTGTGCAATCTTGCATCTATTGCTTTACCTCGATTTGTGAGGGAGAAGGTGAGTACAAAAAGGGACAGCCGAGTATGTGAACTTGCTTTTGCTTTATCGCTCGATATAATTGTGCCATTTCTTATATTCACAACAGGGTGCCCCTTTCGAGGCTCATCCATCTAAGCTTGTAGGCAGTATGGGCTCAACAAACCGGTTCTTTGATTTTGACAAATTAGCAGAGGTCAGATTCAGATACCAAACACTTGGTTCAGCACACTGGGAATCTCTTTACCCATTGTTCTATATCTCGGGGAAATCTCCATGGCTTTTGTGATTATGCGACTTGTTTTTTGTTCCTGTTTTTGACCAGATAACTGCAACTGTTACTGCAAATCTTAACAAGATAATCGATGTGAACTACTATCCTGTGGAGACTGCAAAAAATTCAAATATGCGCCATAGGCCTATCGGTATTGGGGTACAAGGTCTTGCAGACGCATTTATCCTTCTTGGAATGCCATTTGACTCATCTGAGGTAAATTTGCTTTGCATGAGACTTCTACCACTAGAAAATGTCTTCTCTCTCTCTCTCATTCTAAGCTTCTTTTCGTTTGAATGATCTCAGGCCCAACAACTCAACAAGGACATATTTGAAACAATATACTACCATGCACTCAAAGCATCTTCTGATCTTGCTGCTTCGGATGGTGCCTATGAGACATACGGAGAAAGTCCAGTGAGTAAGGTATGCATCACTCCATGCAAATCTCTGGACAGTCTGAAAGCATCTTCATCATCTGTTGTTGCTAATTGTTTGATTGTCTGTTGGATGAATCTTTAGGGAATTCTTCAACCTGACATGTGGAGTGTAACTCCCTCTGACCGCTGGGATTGGGTTGCTCTAAGGGATATGATCTCAAAGAATGGTGTGAGAAATTCACTTCTAGTGGCACCAATGCCAACAGCTTCTACCAGTCAGATTCTTGGAAATAACGAGTGTTTCGAGCCATATACCTCAAACATCTATAGTCGCAGAGTCTTGAGGTATGCCCATATGCTTACTTAAGTGGTTACACCAATTCAAGATAATTTCTCTACTCTAGTTGGCCAGAGCTTAACTTGGATCTTTTCTCTGTCTCCAGTGGTGAATTTGTGGTGGTGAATAAACATCTTCTCCATGATTTAACTGATATGAATATCTGGTCTCCGGCTCTAAAGAACAAGATAATTTATGAGAACGGTTCTATTCAAAAGGTCCCAGAAGTACCTGATGATCTGAAGGCGATTTACAGGTACAGCTTTTCCGCCTGTTGCTCTGGCTGTACCAATTCCTCCCAATTATAAGATTTGACTGGTTTTACCCTTTCAATCCAACGCAGGACCGTCTGGGAGATTAAGCAGAAAACATTGGTAGACATGGCTGTTGATCGTGGATGCTATATAGATCAAAGCCAAAGCCTAAACATACACATGACAGAACCCAATTTCGGAAAACTCACTTCCCTGCACTTCTATGCCTGGAGAAAGGTATTGGCTTAAACTTCAGCTAGAATGTTTCTATATTTGGTGTCATCCCTCTGTGCTTTGAAACACTGTTTCTGTTTATATCATGATGGTGGTTTCTTAATATTGTGAAAAAAAATGAAAAGGGTCTGAAAACGGGGATGTACTATTTGAGATCGAGGGCTGCAGCTGATGCAATCAAATTCACAGTTGACACAACCATGCTCAAGGTAACAGATAGACACTCTCTTGCTGCGGATGTTTTTGTTCCATGGAAACGGGAACTGACATTTCAGAAATGTGTTGCTGCAGGAGGAAGAAGAGGATGATGAAACTAAAATGGCACAGATGGTTTGCTCTCTTACAAACCGCGACGACTGCCTCGCTTGTGGAAGTTGATGATCCATTCCTCTTTATAACCATTTGGTCGCTTGTTTATAGGTTGTTCATAAAACGTTTCATCCTGTAAATTGATCTTTGTTCTTCACAGCATAAATTGGGTGTGATTTTCCTCCTTTTTATTATTAAAAAAACAAGAATTTGTCTAATTTAATATACGAAACTCATTCTGTCTTTTATTTGCTTTTTCTCTCGATAAAAATCATGTAATGGGCTTGGCCACGGTCAAAGGCCCATTCATATCCTGAAACATAATGGGCCGAGCCATGTCGAAAGCCCACCTCTTAGACATAAGATAAGAGGCCGGGGCATCTTCTACGAGCACCCCGAGAGAACTTTCCCTCACGGGTCAAAGGCCCATTTATATGATTTATATGTTTCGACCAGAATCTTACTATGATAGTTAATGTAGATCATGTCTGAATTAACATCACACATTTATCAATTTTAGAATGAATATCACTAAAATGTTTTTAATTATATATTTGAACAATTAAGAAGAAAAAAAAGAAATAAGAGCAATCGAGAGGTGGATGATGGAACTAATTAGTTAGTTTGGAGCCTTTTTGGAAAACGCTACGAAAGCTCAAATCACGTGACGAATATTCCGCATAGTTTTAGATTATCGAAAAATTTAACGATTTTAATTGTTACATACAATTCATTTCCAATTCTTACAATAATTTTGTATTCGGTAATACCTTTACTTTTTATTTTTATTTTTCTATTTGCCTATTAATTCCAAAATTTCATATATTCGGATATCTTTGGTTCCAAGTGATAAAGACTTTTATTTTATCTAAAACACACTCAAATGTCTTAATGGTATGTATACGGATTTTTGTATATCATTAGTTTATAACTTTTTGGATAGTGATCGCCTTCAAATCCATCAACGGAAAAAAAAGAAAGACACGCAACCGTGAACATGAAATTAATTATCTTTGGTTAAATGTCTTTCCAAATCTATTGTAATAAGGGAGCTACATTATTTTTAAAGGGACAAAATAAAAAAAAAATAGAAAATAGAAAAATATGCTATATAAATTTAAGAATATAAACATAACTTTATTACTAAGATTTAAAGTTTGGTAATTTTTAAAATTAAGTGATAGATTTTTAATACCTTCCAAAAGAATTCTGACACTTCTGTAAATTTTCTATTTTATAAAATAGAAAAAAAAACTTTTTTATTTCTCCGCCGTATCCTCGTCGGAAACCTCTTTCTTAAATGGCAACAAGAAGACTCAGAGGAAGTCCACAACTGAATTGCAGAAACAACATTGAATTCCATTGAAATTCAATCTCTCTCATGTGACTCTTCCTCTTCGTAAGAATCTCAGTCTCTTTTTTTTTTGCTTACTTCATCTCTCCTCCGTATCGCCGTCACTCGCCGACAAGGCGGCGCCGCGGTGTTCTTCGCCTTCGGAGGTCAGTATCAGCCGCGATTTTGTGTTCGTTGCTCTGTTTGATTCGTTTGAAGAGTTTCTGTTTTATTGTTATATTTTGCTCGTAGTGGAGTTGCGTTTTAGGTTATTGTTCTTATGGCGTGTGCTACTTGATGAGCCTCTAGATTAATATTGAGATTTGGATTCTGTTTGTGCTGCTACCGTGGTTCTGATCTGAATGTCTGAGGACTTAAAGTTAAATGTTAATGTTTTATGGTTGTGGAGTAGATCTGATTGGAACTAGTTATGTCCAAGTTTGAGGTTTTAGAATAGTTCCTTCTTTTGTTGTCGCTGTTTTTCTGGATCCAAGGGTTAACATCGTTGAATTTCGAAACTGAGCTGTGGAATTAGATTCAGAAATAGCAGGTAGCTTGCTAATTTGGGTTCCTTCTTTCGTAAGTTTTCTATAAAGATTCCATGGTTAGCGTCAGTGGCGATGCTGATCATAAATTTCGGAAGTCTTGGGTTTCCTCTCGCTATAGCATTCCTACACCTCCATAATCACAGGGTCTAGTTAGTTTCTGTCCGATTCGTCTTTTGTTCAAGATCATGTACTGACCTTTGTATATGTATATGGGTTGGTGGTATTTACTGTTGAAGCTGCTCTTGTTGAAGATTTCGATCTGCAGAAATTTGACTGGTGTGTAAAAATGGCCGCAACAAGCAAAAGCAAGACAGACAGGAAAGCGGCTCTAGACATTGCATCATGGATGTTCAACGTTGTTACATCTGTTGGGATCATCCTTGTTAATAAGGCCTTGATGGCTACTTATGGATTTAGTTTTGGTAAGTGACTCAAGATATTTCATTGTGAGTGCAATTACTACTGCTCAATTTGTTAAATGTAGATGGTTATCTTGCGTTGGCTTTGACTCTTCCTTTTTTTTTTGTCCCCAATCAATTGAATGAACATAGCATGTTAAGATTTCGGCATTTTAGACTAAAGATTTTGTCCGGTTGTTTGGGTATCGTATGCATATGTTATAAGCATCCCCTGATCTGGTAATACATTGTTTAAAGTTTTTCTTTAATACGATGCCTTGTGAAAATTCTTCGATGTAGATCCTAGCAATATAATTCTGTAGAATGCATCTGGTATCTACGATTTAATTGAACAGCTACTTAGAAAGAGCTATGCAGTTCAAGTTGTTTTCGCGTTTCTCTGGTCAATAGGAGAATGCATCTGGTATCTTACACTGGGCATTAGCCTTGACACTTACTGTTCTATTTTGCAGCTACAACATTAACTGGTTTGCATTTTGCAACTACAACATTGTTGACAACTTCCCTCACATGGCTCGGATATATCCAGCCTTCCCAACTGCCATTGCCAGAGCTTTTAAAATTCGTTCTGTTCGCAAACTTTTCTATTGTCGGAATGAACGTGAGCCTGATGTGGAATTCTGTGGGGTTCTACCAGGTCAGTCTCCAGACTTTTACCGCCTTTTATATTTTGTGGTAAAACTCAAGAGTTTGAACTTGCTGTTGAGTTCTTCCTCTCATACAAATATTGGAAACTAAATATATTGCAGATTGCCAAGCTAAGCATGATCCCTGTGTCTTGTTTACTGGAAGTTGTTTTGGATAATGTTCGGTATTCAAGAGATACAAAGCTTAGCATAATGGTAGTTCTTGTCGGTGTTGGTGTCTGCACTGTGACAGATGTCAGTGTCAATTTTAATGGGTTTCTAGCTGCTGCCATCGCCGTCTGCAGCACTGCTCTACAGCAATATGTAAGTATACCCCATGTGGAGAACCGCCCAGTTGGAACAGATCTTAGACAATTCATGTTGTCATTCTGATCCATGCAAATTCCATATTTGTGATATAAAAGGAATGCAAGTCTGGTTTTTTCTTTATAAAAATCATATGGACTATATGTGTCATATTGAAACCAAACCAAACCAAACCAAACCAAAGCGTAATACACCAATGGTGCTTATGTCTACAAATGCATGTTGGCTGATTCGAGTTTTCTGAGACTTATGCTGTTATTGAAAACTTGTGCAGTACGTGCATTTTCTTCAAAGGAAGTATTCGCTCGGTTCTTTCAACTTACTGGCACATACGGCTCCAGTACAAGCAGCGTCTCTGTTGCTGGTGGGACCATTTCTAGACTACTTGTTGACAAACCAAAGAGTAGATGCGTTCAACTTCACCTTTATGTCTCTGGTAAGTTTTCCCTTCATTTCATGCGAATGATGAATCCTTCTCTGCGCTTTTAGGAGATAAACTCTTCCGTTTTACTGCATTGCTCATGTAGATGTTTCTGTACTTCTTTTTAGTCTTGGTTTCGTTTCCCGTAGGTATCATCAAGAGGTGAATCCCTCATTTATCACATGCCATGTGATGAAAACTCAATACCCATAGATAGAAACAATTTTCTTTTACGTTAACTTGGTCTATCGAGTGTAAAAACAAAATACACTGGCATAGGAACAACCAATGTCCCTGGAGCATCTTAGATTCTACTTTGTAGTTCTTGATTCCGTATCATTTTGCTATTTACTTATTTCATTTCGCGAGGATTTCGATCTCATACCCGCCTTTGTCTGTTCCATCTGATCTCGATTCCCGGGTTTTGCAGTTCTTCCTAGTGCTATCGTGCAGCATAGCAGTCGGGACCAATCTCAGCCAATTCATATGCATCGGGAGATTCACGGCGGTATCGTTCCAAGTGCTGGGGCACATGAAGACGATTCTGGTGTTGGTGATGGGATTCAGTTTCTTCGGGAAAGAAGGGCTGAACGTACAAGTGGTGGTGGGGATGCTAATCGCCGTTCTGGGCATGGTGTGGTACGGAAATGCATCCTCTAAGCCGGGAGGGAAAG